AATACAGTATAACAACGACTTACATAGCATTTACATTCTATTGAGTAGGTGTGTAGGTTACATGCACATACGACACCGTTTTACATCAGGGATTTGAGCATCCCTGGGTTTTGGTATCCACGGAGGTCTTGGAACCCATCCCCAGTGGATAGAGATGAGTGTCCTGGATTAGATGATCCCTGAATAATTTCCAGCTTGGACAATCTAGGGACCTTTTCTCCAGCCACCTGTCCCAATAATTCTATCTTGCCATGCCTTTGGTCTTAGGCTAAATCTCCACGGCTCTTCCGCTTACCCATTTTTATGTGAAAATTCAGCTCTCAGCAGCAGAGCGATGAACTCTGCATGGGCGTGTGTGCATGTGAGTGCCTTATGGCTCCAGGGGAGTTGAGGGATCTCAATGAGCAGACGGAGCTGCTGAAGATTAGAAGCGGAAACGTAAAGTTGGAGACAGACATGTGACAACAGAGTGATGCTCAGGCTGAGCGGAATTGGCACATCTGGCAGACAGCCACCCGCCTTGGGAGCAGCTCCTTCCAACTCGCCGGGGGGCAGGAACCCAGTGGAACTGGGAGCTCTGAGGCCGAGGGTGGCTGGTGGTGAGACCTGCAGCCGCCAGGCTCCTTCCCACCCTTGGCAGGGCTGAACCCTGGAGCAGCCAGAGAAGCCTGATCCAGCCCCGAGGCAAAATCAGACCAAGGGGAAGAATGTCTCCAGGGAGAGCTCATTCTTCATTTTGCCTTTTTGAGATTGAGATATTAGAGGTCTTGTTAAAAAGGAGAACATTATCTAGTGGCTTCAGGTCACATAAGACCAGGCTTGGCTGGTATGCAGCCGCCTAGGGCTGGGACCTGCTGGGGGAGGTGACAGTCAGTTGGATGTCCGAGGGTATCAGGGAGGGCAAGGCATGCAGCTCTGGGGCTTGTGGAGAAAAGAACTAATGATACCCTGATGAATGTGTTGCTGGAGCTACTGTCATGACCATCAACAGGTTTTCCTGATTCTAAACTGAGGATAAACGGCAAGTAACAGAGGAGTATTTGTCTGGGGAGGCAACGCCTTCCACTCACCTGGGTTCTGCTGACATATAGGCAGCCCTGCCCTCGGCCCAGGCAAGGAGCACTGCACACCACCCCTGAGCCCTGAGCATGCTTAGAATTCCATCCCAGCCAGGACCAGTGCTCTCAGGCCCTGCTGCCATGGAGGTGATATACGAAGACAGGCTGCTGGCCACCGCCGGGTCTTGGGGAATTCTCATGCCTGCCACCAGGCACAGGAAAAAGGGAGAGGTAAACACAGCCAAATACCTGCTTGCCTTCAGTGAGCTGAAGGACCTAGGAGGATGAATAGGTTCCTAAGGGTGGGATAATGAATTCACGGTGATTTCTGGTCTCAAAATAACAGTCACCATGAAGTGTCTTTTGTTTGCCAGACACCTGTACTGGGTACTTCACATGTATTATATCCAAGCCACAGAATGTAAGGTGAGGTTGTTGCTCCCACTTTACAGAGAGGAAACTGAGGCTCAGAGAAACTGGATGACTTCTCTGCAGGCCACGTTTAGTAAGGGGATAAATGTTTTGCACACAGAAGGATTGAAGAGCACATCCTCGTGTCAAATTTCGACTCCCCTGCTTCCTGGAAGAGAAAGTCCTGTTCTCTGTATATCTTAGTTTCCTTACACATAAGGTGGAGATACTGCCCGTCTCCTGGAGTCTTTGTGAGGCTTTATGTGGGTCAGAATCTTTAACCCCTTACCCAGTTCTTAGTACACAGCAAACACACAGCACACAGGGGAGATTTACTTTCTCCCAGCAGGCCTGCAAGGACGCCAGCCCAAGAGCCTCTCACTGCGGAAAAGGCAGTCCATTCCAAGTGAATTTTCTTTAGCTCTGATTATTCTCTTTTCTTTTGGGTACTGTGGAGGGCTGGTATTCTCAAGGTATTTAGAAAATGAGAAGTTTTGCCAAAAAAAAGTACTAGGGGATTAAATGTTTCTCAGCCCCAGAAGACTTCTGGTAGTACTGTCCTTCACTTAGCTCTCCAGGCCAAAAAAGCTCCAGCTCTATTGGACCTCAAAACAGCGCTCATGACAGCAGCCCCTTGCCTGTGCAGCATCTCAGTAGTCCCTTCCTAGGGTTTCCTCCCAATGGTGGCTTCAGGCACACCCTGCTGCCCACTAGAACCGTTGCTATCACATCATCTATGAAGTCAGAGGACAGTTGTGGGCTACCTGCTGCCTACCTTCTCTGCTGTGGCTTCAGGGTGGTGATTGAGTTGCATCTTGGCCACATCCTTTTCAGAATGGACTATTTTAGCTCCTTTGGCTATAGGACACGCAGATCTGCTTTCCCAGAACAAGCTGTATTGCTAAGGGTGGTGGGGGTGGTGGCTGTGGTTCCTGGCATGTAGAGACGAGGCTATTATTATTATTATCATCATCATTATGTTGAGACAGGGTTTCACTCTGTTGCCCAGGCTAGAGTGCAGTGGCACAATCCTCGACCTCCTAGACACAAGTGATCCTCCTGTCTCAGTCTCCCGAGTAGCTGGGACTACAGGGGTGAGCCACCACAACTGGCTAACTTTTTAATATTTTTTTTGCAGAGACCGGGTTTCACTATGTTGCCCAGGGTGGTCTTGAACTCCTGGGCTCAGGCAATCCTCCCGCTTCAGCCTACCAAAGTGTTAGGATTACAGGCATGAGCCACCATGCCTGGCTGAGGCCCTTCTTAAATACAGCATTGGTTCTTCTGCACTGCCTGAAAGCCTTGCACGGTAGCACGTGGTAGAGGTAAGTCTTGGGGTGGGGTGTGACTCTGGAGAGGGGTATGGAGAGCACTGGCATGGGTAGCATCTCCTCCTGCTGCAAGAAGATGGAGCGCCTCAAGCCCCTCCCCCAAAGTGGAGAAGATTACTGCTCTCAGCGGTGCTCTGGAGCAGAAATAATCATGTAATTTGACATCCCCCTGCTCTTTGGGGAAGAGATTACAACTGTAATAGCCATTTTCAAGAGCCAGGAAAGAGGAGTGCAGTCGGAGCGGGAGAAGGCGGAACCCGAACATCAGTTGAAAGAGATGAGCCTGCTGGTGATGGGCACACGCAGCCTTTCCGTGTTTAAGGCTCTGCTGAATGCTCTCTGCAGGCAGCAACATGTGCAGCCTCTAATTTTCTTCTTGGGGCTGTTTAGCACCAAGCCATTTTCACTCTTGAAGGGTGTTTGTTTGCATGATGGGTCTGAGTGAGTGGGTCCTGGCTCTGCTGCAGTGGCCTGTCACTTGCTGGCCACCCTGGGTGTCATCATAGAATACACCAGTGAGCTCGCTCCAGCCATCCGCGGTGCCCTGACCCCAGAGTGAGGGGCTCGGGTTATTGATCTTGTTGCAGCCCCCAAAGTGCCAATTATTTCTCCTGAGTTCTTCAGGAGGAAGAAAGTTCTTAATTGAAGTCAATGGCTGCCTCGCTCATGAAGAACCATTTCTTTGGGTGTATTGAATTGAATATATTCCCTAGAAAGATTTTCTTTCCTACATGCTTCAGAAAATGTCTAGCTTTTTTTTTTGGAGTTGGAGTTGGAGTCTTACCCCATAGACCTGGCTGCAGTGCAGTGACATGCTCACGACCACCCCAGTGTCGACCTGCTGGGCTCAGGCAATCCCTCTGCCTCAGTCTTCAAAGTAGCCAGAACTATAGGCACGTGCTACCACGCCTGGTAAATTTTTTGATTTTTTATTGTAGAGACGAGGTCTCACCATACTGCCCAGGCTGTTCTTGAACCCATGGGCTCAGGCAATCCTCTCACCTTGGCCTCCCTAAATGTCTAGCTTTGATCCCTTAAAGGGCATGAGGTTTACCCTTCCCCAGACCCCTTGAACATAACTGATATCATAGTCAACTCCCTCGATTTCAAGATGGAGTCTGGAACTCTCTTACACTTGTGTAGCATGTTATAATTCCCAAAGTGCCTTTGCCTCAGAAACCTAATTTAACCTTCTCAGCACTGTAAGAGGTCGGTTGGACAGGTATTACTCTTATTTTTCTAGAAGTAGTAGTCGAAGCTCAGAGAGGTTAAGCAACTTGCTCAAACTCATACAGTTGGCAGGTAGCAGGACGGACCAGAAGTCTCTGGAACTCTGGTCTGGGACTCTTGGCAGTCACTGTGCCATGCAGATCCTGCTTCCTACCCGCAAATGATCAAGTGGGGACCTGGAGTCCACAGGTGGTCACTGGTTTAGAATGGTCCTGGGGCAACTGGAAGGGAGTAGTGCTTCTTGGGGCTAGGACAAGGGTGCAGGGTGAATTAGGGAAATAAATATGTGTGCATCAGTCAGGGTTCACTACAGAAGTAGAATCCCCTGTTTTGGGACTTCAAGCAGAGAATGAACCAACCCAGAACGGGGTACTCACAGTCCCATCAGCTGGGCTGGTGTGGGGGGGGTGCAGGTGCCAAGAGGGCCTCCAGAAATGACTCCCAGGACCACACAGAGCTCCCTTGATGGGCAGGGCCATCGCCCACCACTCACCCCACTGAATTCAAGAGCACAGGCCAGAGCTGCAGGCCAGGAGTCAGGAAGCTGCCCCCACCCCATGCTGCTGCCACTCTCTTGGCACTCCATTGCTGGAAAATGGATGCTGAAATGCTGTTGCCAAAAATCCGGATGTTTCCAGCACGTCGTCAGCAGAAAAGCACCAAAGGGGCAGGAAGTGGTGTTAGATGGGCCACTAGTTCCCATCTAGAACTGTTGCTACAAGGAGTCTGGGAAATGTGACCTTTTGTTTGCTGATTTTCAGCCTCTACAGAGCAGGCAGGCACATTTGGTGGAGGGGGCAGGGGATCTCGTGAAAGCCAGCTGAATAGTTGCCACCCTGTAGCCAGCCTCACCGCCACACTCTTGTTACGCATGAAAACCTGCAGGCAAACACTTGGCGAATGAATATTTGATTCTGGAGTATTTAAAAGGTCTTTATTAGTGTAGGAACAACCCATAGCATATAGTTACGTGTTCCCCAAAACATACATAGATGTATGTCTCTCAGGAATCATTGATGTGCTTCATCGTGGAGTTAAGAATTTCTATTCCATGGAGATCTCTCAGTTGAGCAGTAAATCTGTCACAACCAGAAACACAATCCATGACATCAATGCCATTGTCCAGACTTCTGGAGCCCAGAGCCATCCCCCTCCCCGACAGAAGCTGCCTGGGAACATCAGTCCTGTCACTGTGGGCGGAAAGGGGAAGGGGTGTCACCGTGGGGAGCCCTAAAGGTCATGGGGTAGGTCAGACTCTCAGGAAGGCCCACAAAACAGTGAACACGCTTGTGCTGCAGTGGCAGGTGTGGCCGGCTAATCAGATGGGACCTTGTCCCTGGGAACTCTCCAGTAAACTGCCACTTTGAGTTCACCCTAATCTGTGTTCCTTGCTTTCTGGGGAAGAAAGATTTTATTCGTTCCTTCTATCTGGGCAATCAGAACTTGAAAGGACTGTAGATATCCTCTCAGCCAAACCTCCTCATTCTACAGAGGAAGAATTAAGGGAGGGTGGTTGAAGAGGAAGGGGCCTCTCTCACCCCACCCCAGAGACTCCCCCCTTCTATGCCAGGACTCCATCGTTCAGCACAGGCAGAAACTTCCAGAAGTGTGAATGCTGAGGCAGGTAAGCACAGCAGAACAGGAGCAGAGTGGAATCTGAGCTAGCAGAGAAGTGCTGAGTGCAGTTACAGCCAGCAATTCTTGCCCTGGCTCTCGGGGACTTAGGCACCTGCTTCTCCATTCTGCTTTTTCCAGCATGAACATGCTACCCTTGCTGGACATTCCTCTGTTTTTTAAAAAAATTATTTACTATTATTATAACCTTGTATAAAATTTAAAAAAAACAAATAAAAAGTAATAAATAAATAATAAAACAAAAACTTTTCTACTGTGGGGTCTATTTCCATGAAGATTTATGGAAAAATATTTAAAGAAGCAATTATTTTTAAGAACCAGAAAGCCAAGATTCAATCTCAATAATGATAGCAATATTCAGCGAATTATAGATGACAACATTCAAGTTCATATAATGCTTGAATCTAAAGAGCTAGGACAAGTCATATCTTATCTTAAAATTACTTATGTATAAAGTTATTATTGTTCCTTCCTCTGAGGATTACTGTTTTTAATTTTCTCCATCCAGTAATACTTGGAATTATTTTTTAAGGTATTATAGAATTTCTTTTTAAAGAATTTGATTTTACCATTATCTTTTTTTCCCCAGCCAAAATACCTTGGAATGTTTTCTTTTATTTTACTTTATTTTGAAAATTTAATTTAATTTTAGAGGATTTGCTACATAAATAAATTGCATGCGAGTCAGGACATGGTACCCAGTGAGTGGCTGTGTGCCTTTTTTACCCCTCCTTCCTTGCCCCGTTAGTTAGCCGTGTGCATTATCAGTTGTTCCCATCTTTAAGACCAACACTTAGGGCCCACTTGTGATTGAGGACATAAGTAGTCAACTTTTTGTTTCTATGATAGTTCACTTAGAATTATGGTGCCCCTCTGAATTGTACCCTACATATTTAAAATAAAACATTTTTTAAAAAAAGAATTATGGTGTCCAGCTGCATCCATGTTGCCGCAGAGAACATGATTTTGTTCTTCTCTATGGCTTGGAATGTTTTATTTTATTTTACTTTATTTAGTATTAGTATAGTATTCCATTGTGTATATGTACCACATTTCCTTTATCCAGTCTACTTTATTTTTTGTTGTTGTTCACACTGCCTGAAAGTAGTTTATTTATTTATCATTAGACACTAGTTTGTTTTTTGGGTTTTAAAAAATTCTTTAATTTTTCATTTTAAAGATGTGGGGTACAATTCAGGGTTAAGGATACAAATGTTCATTATGCAGGTACCCTTGTTGATGAGGTGTGCACCCCCCACCTTTGGCAGTAGTGGGATTCGTCCTCCTCTGTTTGTTTAGCCCAGGTAAAGAAAGTGGAGTGGAGGTCTAACTGTTTCTGGGAAAGTAGACAAGAGAGAAAGGAGGGAGAAAGAAGGGATGATGGAGTGAAAGGGAAGGGAAGGAGGAGAAAGTGAAGGGAAGGAGGATGCAGGGAATGGAGGAGAAGGGAATGGAGAGAAGACAATGGCAGTGAGTGCGTGGGACAGATCCCTGCCAGACCAGCCGAGCCCCTCTCTGGTTGGAGCCAAGAGCTCTCAGCTCCCTGGGAAGGCTTCCTGCAGAGAGGCAGCCACTGGGCCCAATCTGGACCTGCACAGAAGGCACGAGGGCTTCCCAAAGTTCTGTGCAGCACATAGTCCTAGCCAGACACAGCGCCTCAGCTCATCTTAGATGAGACTCACACGCGGCAGCCGGGCTTGGCGTCCGCAGCATACCTGGGCTCGGCCGTGCACAGCTTCCCCAGAGCAATGCCTGCGTTCACCTGCACGGCTGTCTTCTTCGTGTCACTGCCTGCAAGCTTTAACAAGACCTGCACAAGGTCTGTCTTCAGTAGGGACGACGCGACATTAGGCACCTCCATGCAATTGCCAAGGCAGAGGGCAGCGTTGCCCACCAGAACTTCATCCTCCGATCTGAGCAGCTTCATTAAAATGCTCAGCTCTGCAGGAAAGAAAAAGAAAAACAATAGTTCCACCGAATCCCCAAACGGGAAGCTGGCAACAAGACATGAAGGGCCCAGAGAGATGTCAGAGGATGCTATGTTTCTCCGGACACTCTGCAGAAGGACCTGGCCACTCACACACTCAGTACACATTCCCTGAATGCGTATGATCTCCTCAGCTCCTTGTTATGTCTCTGAAGTGTCTCAGGTGCCCAGAATGGTGTCTGGTACAACACAGTTGCCGCACGAATGAACACTGTGTCAGGTAGTCTGTCTTCTCGAAAGTCCCTGCTGTTAGCCTCTCCACTTCACCCCAGTGACAGGTCCCACCTGACAGTGCCCAAGCAGGAGGCAACTTGCAAGTGTTCTATACCTGCAGGGCAAGAAACAGGATCCAGAAGAAAGGTTCCTGTTTCCGTGGTGGGGGCCCTCAGTTCACCTTCCATGTCTTCCAGGGGAGGTGGTAAGAGGAGCATCAGCAGGCTGCCCGGCTGGGAACCCTGCTACGAATCCTATAGCCAACTGTAGTTCCTGGACTAAAGCTAGGCTCAGACTGACATTCCCTTGTTCACTAAAGGTTGAAGGTGTTCTTTTTCTCCTGCTGTGATAGTAGAGAGTCAGTGCTAGGTCAGTTTAAGCAGAGTGCTTTAGAGACAAGCTCAATTGAACTTGGTAAGAGGAGGGAGCTTTCGAGCTTTGATCCTGTTGTCTTTGAGCTGTCTGTCAGCAGGGCCTCCAGTCCTGGCATTGTTCTACCTGTGTGCAGCTGAAAGGCTAGTGAAATGCCTTCCAATGTAGAGGCAAAATGAGATCTTGTTCTGTAAACACTGCTGAAGTCTGGGGAAAGGTAACAGCATTCCCACTAAGCCCCTCCTCACTCCTCGGCCACAGTTCCCTTTGCAGCTTCAGGAGAGCAAGCCTCTGGGATGTGGACGCCCAAGGAAACTGTCACTTACTTGTATCCAGCCTGATGACTTCTTCTCGAGCTTCGTGATAACTATTAGTGCAGATGGCGAGTGTCTTTATAGCATAACGTGACGCAGTCTGGCCTCCTGTCTAGATTTCAGATTGAAATTAGAAAAACCAAATCAGTGAGATGACTGTTCTTGACCAGAAACCACACCGAGCAGTTATGACAGTGCTGGGGGCTTCCTAAACTTCTAGAGAATTCCACTGAGAATGGCATATGCTTCCTGGTGTGCCGACAGGAAGCACCCCTGCGGGGTGGAGTGTCACTCACACCTTCTCTCACACAGCCCACACCTCAACAGGAATGCAGGCCTGTCATGTACCCCTGAGTAATTACGTCTGAAGGCTTTATGAGTGAGTGGCTGAGAAGGGAATGATGCTGACAGCTGGCAGATCTATCAAAAAGGGGAGAGAAAGGCCCTCTGATGTCACATCACCGTCGGAGGATGAGGGCTGACTTGCTAGGGCTGTCAGGCTGACAGTCCTGCATGGAGAACATCTGGAACCCAGATCATCTTAAGAGGTGACAACTGTCAAATCATAACCCTGAAAATCACCCAGTGCAGGGACTTTAAGAGGAACATGTGCATGTATGCATGTGTGATGCACACGTGTGCACACAATTAGCAGTCCTTGGTGGTTCTGCAAAAGTTGAACAGAGTGAACCACAGTCCTCGTCAAAGTGGCAGTTTAAGCTCAGACCCTCTGTGCTGCCCCCTCAGCATCACCCCTGCCCTAGCTAGCAGCCCTCCAGAGCATGCTCCCCTGCTCCACTCAGTCTGGGCCTTTACAAATAAAATCCATGGTGTCACTAACATGAGCGAGTGGACCTCACTGGGCACGTGCATCACCGCCGGGAGCCAAAGCCGTCAGCCTAACAATTCCCCTTGCCCTTCCAGATGAATCTAGCCCACTGCTGTGCTGAGTCGCTTAGATTCACTACTCTTATTTCATGAAAAAAGCCCAACATCTGTTGGTCCCATGGTAACTCTGCAGCCTACATAGCTCATAAATAGAGTTCTAGCCAACACTCTCCAGATGACTGTGCAGGAAAGTGTGAGCAAAATAAGGGGCCTGAGAAGCCTTGCAGAAAGCCACTCAGATCATCCTTTTCAAAGACAGAGGCCACATACTGCAAAGTTAGGTCTGAAGAATAAGCAGTTTTTATGGATGCATGCAACAAGCAGTTTACTTATTTATTCAACAGTCTTTTGTGGATGTTCAGAGGCACGGTCTGGGAAGACAGGCAGAAGAGAATCTCTATCCAAAAAGTTTAAAATCTAGGAGGGGTGAAATAGTAGCACATTAACTGACAAAGCCCACCTTACTTCTGTTCCCATGTAAAGTAGAAGGCTCTGGAAATTAAGAGGTTGTAACCAGTGGAGTAACTTTACCTTCAGGAATTTCATCATTTTCTTCACCATTCCTGCTCTCAGGGCCTCCTCAACGATTCTCAGAGAGGAAGGAAGGATCCGGCTCAGAACGCCAGCAGCTCTCTGAGTGACACAAAATGAGGATGGTTAAATGTTCCTTTTTGGAAATGCTAACAACTTTTCAAAGTTAGCAATGAGTTTGGTGGGCAAAAACAATCATTGGTATTGGAAGCAAGACATGCATTTTGATTTTTAGAAAATGCAATGGCCAGGTAATAATAGAATAATAGAAAGCACTGTTCTTTTTTTCTAAAACTGTCAAAGGGCTATAAACATTGTCCCCTGGCACCTAGAGGCCCAGATTATTTCAGCTTCACACAAGACCGACCAGTCCGACTCTGAGAATGAAAGTCTTCCCTGGAATTCCTCCCAGAGGTCTGATATCAGCTGGGCACTACCAGGAGATGCTCGACTTTCTGGAATGATCTTTTGTGGTTTTTGGCTTTTGTTTCTCTCTCTGAATCTTTCTGCTTTCTGGGAGATTTCATTTACTTTATTTCCTAGGTCTAATTTCTTCTTTTTTTTAAATAGCAAGCTGTTACTATTTTATGTATATGACTATCTTGAATCTCTCTTAGATTACAAATGACAGTTACTATTTTTTTCTTCTTCTGTTTCCTATGACATTTCTGTTTCTTTTGGGTCACTTTTTCTGCTTATCTTGGTTTGTCTATTTATGTGTATAACTTTCCTGAAATGTCTGGTGACCTCTGGTTTTCCAATTGCATTTAAGAAAAAGCAATAAAAATATGTTTAGGCACACTATGAGTATGGGACATTTGTTGACAGGCAGGTAGAGAGGTGGCATTTCTTAATTCTGTTTCTGACACTTGGATGAGAAAACTGAGAAAGGCCGATGGTTAGCACAGTGCATCTGTAGACTGTTAGTGTGATTCAAGAGGCTGTTGGCCATTGTCCTAAGATATGTTCTTCATTTGCATTAGTGATCACCCTCATCTTTCTCCCTGTCAGGGTAGGGTCCTAAAGCCTAGAGAAACAACTGGGGTCACATCTATGGCAAGTCTGGGAAACCAGCCTTCAAGGATCACAGACTGGGAACTGGTTCTAGGGTTTAAAAAAGGTTTTGAGTAGATCCAACATACCCTGTTGGGAGCTAGTATTGTCACAACTTCCCAAAGTCAAGTTAACACTGCAGGGCAAAGGTTTTTAACCTGGGCTCCATGAATGTGTTCCTAGAATCCCTGAAATTGGGTAGACAATTCTAAGGGTATGTACATTTTCATGGAAGGAGCATCATAGTTGTTAAAAGATCCTCAAAAGAGGTCTGTGACCCCCACAGTGGTCAGTGCCAATGTTCTTGGTTGCTGCAGACTTTTTCTGAACTGAGGCTGAGCCTCCATGAGTCCCTGCTGAACCTTTGGGGATCTCTTGGGCCAGAGTTTCTCTGGATCCCATTTGTGCCACAGCGGGTGCCTCCCAGCTTGCTGAGCAAGACAGCACTTCTACGTGAGGATCTGGTCCTTGGGTAGGGCATAGTCTCCATTGTACTGTGCTTGTAAAGGGATCTGTAATATCAGCTACAGCAAAACTCTAGAATCTTCAGGAAGCAGGTTAGGGAAGCAAGATTGATGATATGTTAATATAAAAGTTTATCCCTTTTCCCTCTGGAGACCTCATTAAAATGAGATCAAGGCCACTGAAAATAAAAGAATCAAGACCCACGATGACACAGTGAACAGGCAAGGGGTAAATAATTTTAACAAGGTTCTGAAAGAGGGAGAACAGCGGCAGGATGGGTGATCAGTGAGGCTGGATTTTTTGACCATGGAAAGAAAGAAGGGATTCTAAATCAACTGGACACCTGGCCTGTCCAATTTGCACAGGGCATCTTGAAAAAGGACATATCAGATAGATTAGATTGTGTAAGCTGGTGAAATTCCAGACCATACAGAAAAGGGATTCTGAAGTCTGGTTCCTGGATTCCAGGGGATCCGCAGATGGGTCCTGGGGGGAGGTCACCATCCCCAAAACTGTAGGCAAAATTTGGTATTTATGTGCATGTGGGCCTTATCCTGAGAAGTATGTCCACACCACACCTCAGAAAGTCAGCAGATTCTCAAAGGTGGTGACATCAGAACAAAGCAAGAACAATGGACGCTGTTTCCAGACTTCCTCCAGGAGCAACTTACTGTCAGGATTCCGCCATCCTGGCTGTTTAGCAGAGTCATGCACCTTCTGCTCACCTCCATAGCCCAAACCTGCAATGGCAGGGAGAGAGGGGAGATTTTTGCTTCCTGATGTTCTGCATCCTCCAGGGACCAGCTGCTTCGCTGACCATGCCCTCCTTTTTAGTACCCCAGTGTTCAGACTTCCCTCACATCTCTCAGCACTCCGTTTCTTCCCTTGACAGCAGGAACCAGCTTTTATTTGACTTTGGAAATGCAGCACCTAGTACTCTGCTCAGCACACCCTGGACACTCGGCCCGCTTTCTGATTGAACACATGACTGAGTGACTGATCCGCCCTTGGCACGGAAAAGTGAGAGCGCATCCCCGCAGCTAGTCCCGTCCCATGCCCAGTGCTCAAGGACGTGTGTGCTGCTATTCTCTCTGTGAACCTGAGAATGACTCCACGCAACAGGATATATTTGGGCTGTGCCAGGGTTCTAGGCAGGGAGACAAGATGCTGTACCTCAGAGACAACGGGTGCCTGAAGACACAGGTTCATCATGAGTCCCAGGAGTGTGTAGATGATGTCTCGTGACAGGTCCACATCCTCCTCACACCTGGCCTTGGGAAACAAAACAAGGTGATCAAAGACCTTCCTGCCTGGCAGCTTCTTCATGGTCATCTCTTCCCTTGGACAAAGCTCTTGGAGTTACCCATACTCCTTAAATTGCCAATGTCACAAACCTAAGTGGTGTTGGAAGATCAGAGATCAGATGCATGAGTTAGTGTTAGTCTAAAAGATTTGGTGCTTCTACCATGGGACCATGGCTTGTCCTGGTCCTGGGCTTATCTGAAGAGTGAGCTTCTGAAATGGGTGATCAAGCCAACTCCACCAGAAAATCCTTCAGCTGTCCCCAGGGTGGGTGAGACTTGATCAGGAGGGCTCTTGAAGGCCTGCAGCCCATAAAATCTATCATTACAGAAGGGATAAGCCACTGGCTCCAGCACCCTCAGAAACAGAATTTTTGGAAAAGCCAGAAAAATCAGAAGCCAATGCCCCCAAGGGCATACAAGACCAACTTAATTAAATAGAAAAGCGAGCATACCATGAGGCCCAAGCAGGCATCCCCAAATTCTTCACAGGCCGACATGTGTCGTCGGATGGCAGGCTCAGCACTGAGGTCTCCCATGATGGCAATACACTGGCAGAGAGCTGAGGAGTTGGTAACCTTGGGGTCTTTCTTCTAAAAGTGAATTAAGAGAAAGCAATTTCTCAGAGTGCAGGCCAGTTGTGCCACAGTAATCTCTAGGTGTGTCCTCCTCACTCACCAGAAGGCCTGAGGTCCAAGTAGCTTAATGTCACACAGGGACATCACACAGGATGGTGGCACAAAGAGGGGTAGACTCAAAAGGGCCTTGGCCTAGGGCTTAATCCCTGCTCCTGACCAACTAGCTTGGAGGACCGGCCAAGTCCCTTCCCTTCTCAGAGCCTCCATTTCCACAGCTGTGAAACATTGGGGTGTGGTTATGCGTGCTGAGGGCCCCTGAAACGTCTATGGCTCACTGGGGACTGTGTCCAGTTGCTCTCCAAGGAGAGGCCCTCTGCCAACTACTCTCCGTCTCACCAGCTCTAATTGCTACCCTTGTCCTCCTGGTGAGATGAACTTCCATTCAGGGGACAGGGCTGCACATGGTACCAACGGCAAGACTTAGTGTTAGCGGGGGACTGCTGGAGACTGTCATCCTCTCTCCGCCTTCACCCTGTGCAGCCTGCATCCAGCTTTTCCGCCTCTGCCGCCAGCCCCATCCAGATACCACCTCCACCTGTCCTGACTGTGATTGTTTCAATAACTGAGAATTGTGTAAATTCCAGCTGTGCATAAATGATTAATCAGCCTGGGAGACAATAGCTGTTCTGGAGTGTAAGTCGTGTTTAAACAGCTCTGCTCCCGCTCCTGAGAGTGTCTGTCACAGAGGATGAAAACGAGAGTTTGCTCACCAGAACGCCTATGAGGGCAGGGAGAACACCTGGAAGGCTGGCCTGGAACCAAACTCGGAATCTGTTGGGATGACATCAGCCAGGATTTATTTCTACTTTGCTCAAACTATAGCATAAATGCAGTGTCTCAGGTAATTGATGTAGCAGACAGTTACAAACTCTGGGTCCATAAGATTTAGAGTGTGCATGGACAACTCATTCTGAACCAAAAGGAAAAAAAAGTGGCACAGGATATGCAATGTAACTTTCATTTTTCTAAGTCTGGAGAATTGCCTTTGATGTTAAACAACAGATCTCAGACGGCAGCTCTTAAGCACAGGTTGCTGGACTCTCTAGGCTTCTGTCAAGTTGACTCATTCCATATCCTGCAACCCCCACCTTGCCCTGAGTTTATTATATGCCATGTGTGTGCCATGCAGAAGGCAAAAGCAGCACACACCTGTTTACCCATTGTGGTTAAACATCAGTAGGGCCCGATGCATGCACACACTGAAGCAACTATTCCACAGGCCTGTATGGCTACCTGGCCTGTCTGTGAACACAAGCAGCTCCAACCATTTATAAGCAGGATGGTCTAAGTTTCATAAGGGAGTTTTTTTTTTTTTTTTAAACAAAACAAAACAAGATGTACTTAAAAAACTAAAGAATTATGAAAACAAAGACTTTTATTATCATCCCCAGCAAATAAGCAAAAAAACAGGACAACAAAAAACCATGGGACAGAAGGTCGTTAAGCATGTCACTAGCAACCTAAGAGGAGGCTGTATTTTACCGTTCATTCTTACTCTCTCACTCACTCACATTCATTACATGCAACTGTGCTGGGCAGTCTGTGTGCCAGGCACTGATCAGGAGGGGAAGAAGTTTCCCTGACATACAGTAGGCTTGCTTAACATGGGAGACACTACTGAAGTATGTTACCGCCTCCTAGAGGCCTGGGCCAGCCTCTCCCCAGAGCGATGGAATGGGAGTGGGTAGCCACCAGCCCTGCCACTCAGGTACTCTTGTGATGCTCAGTGGGAGACTTGGCCTGGTCTCTCTCTATACTGCACACTTGTAAAGATCAGACAGTTCAACAAAGATTGAAGGAGAAATGTTGATTTTTGAAAAAGAAAAATTACCTTTCTTCCAGAGCCAAGTCTGTAAGCAGTCCCATGGCAGTGTTGGCTTTCTTATCCGAGAAATCAAGAAATGATACCAGGGCTTCCAACAGCCTGCAAAAACCCATCGCAACCTGAGTGGTCTGGCCTCTGACTAACAACAACCCCTACAAAGTGACCTTTCCAGGAAACCAGGAAGGTGTCTGGATCCTTGCCCATCCCAGAGACAGACATTCTCCCACAGGGCTAGCTCCACACTTAATTTGAATCCCCACAAGGCTGAAAACTTGTAACCAAAGTTTATTGATTATTGGATGCCAGCTCAGAAGGAATCTCTGTGCCTCTGCCATGTGACTCTGGCTCAGTCAAGTTCGTTAACTTAGATGACACCTAGGTGGCATGCTTACTAATCTGCTGATGACTAATGTGGGAGGGCCCCCTAATAAGGTGGGTGATGGAATAAAGATTTAACAAGATTTTGACAGGCTGCTGAATAGATCAGATGAAATTTAATGGGGTTAAACTCAAAGTCCTCCACTTAGAGCTGGAATTCTGTATAAGTAACAGAATTGGAAGACCTGGCTTATAACTGATTCATATAAAAAGATTTAAGGGTTTCTGGCCAATTACAAACACAATATAAGCAAATAGTTGGTGCAGCTGCCAAAAAGAAAAATTAATGCAATCTCAGGCTGCCCCAATGGACTTACTGGCACCAGAACAACTGGAAGTAAGAGGAATTTGCTCATCAGACAAACTTATACCAAGCAGCTACAATGTGCTAAGTACTATGCTCAGTACTGAGCTCCTAGTCTTCTACAGTGACACAAGTATGAATAAATAAGGAAGACAAACTGTGTTAGGTGGTATGTTAAAGACAGATACTTTTCTTTTACTTTATAGAAATGAGGTCTTCCCCTGTCAACCAGGCTGGAATGCAGTGGTGTGATCATAGCTCACTGCAGACTCAAACTCCTGGGCTCAAGTGAACCTCTCACCTCAGCCCCTTGAGTAGCAGGGACTATAGGTACGTGCCACCACAGCCGGCTAATTTTTAAATTTTTTTTATAGAGATGGGGTCCCGCTTTGTTGCCCAGGCTGCTCTCAAATTCCTGACCTCAAGTGATCCTCCTGTCTCAACTTTTCAGAGCACTGAGGTTATAAGCATCAGTTACCATTTCCAACCTCAGATATTTGTTAAATGGGCCACAGAGTCTACCTGGTGGGAGGTGTGGGGAATGGAAGGGCAAAAGCCTTCAACAGCAGATGACATTTCACTGTCTCTTAAAAACGTAGTGTTAGTTTTTCATTTATTCAATCAACAACACTGTGTATCAGGCAATGTGGTCGATTCAGGACCCCAGTGATGAAACAAGACAATGCCTTGGCTCCAGGGAACTCACAGGCCAGAGTCAGGAACATGGGGACTACGTAAATCAGGCAGAGCATTCAGCAGCATAAAACAGCAGGGCACACTGGGGACTGCTGGCAGCTCCATGCAGGGAGTGCTTAGGAAATGAAGAGCACAGGGACCAGCAGGGAGCTGGACAGAGGCTGGATGGTGGGGGCCTTCTGGAACCTGCTGGAAAGCTTGTACTTGGTGCTGCAGGCCTATGCTTCCCAAAGTATGGCTGGCAGATAGCTGACAGTGGTGGTGGTAGTGGTGGGGATCTTTGGAGGGGGACATGAATTCCTGGTCCTCTCTCAATCTCTGAGTGGGAGGAGACTCCAGAGCTCATATTACCAAGTCTCCACGTGATTCTGAGACGATGTATTCCTCAGTAGTTGGAGAACTAGTCTTATAAGCAGTAGAGAGTCATTTTGGTGTTTTAAGGAGGAGAGCAACAGGACAGACGCGCACTGTCAAAAAACCCCATTGGTAGGATGGCGGAAGCTGGACTGGAGCAGGAAGAACAAACAGGGGAGAAGAGGGGCTGTGCAGACAACAAAGGTCAGACGGTGACCAGCCAAGGCGGCAGCAAAACAAACGCTACAGTCAGTGAGAAAGGGGTGCTCATGAAGGCCGAGGAGGAATGAACAGAGACAGCAGAGAACTGGAAGTAAGTGATTCCGGTAGGGGCCAAGGAGGAAAGCTGACAGTGCACTAGCTTGCAGATATGGTACGAGAGTGATCAGATCACTTCCAGGCCTCTGGCTTAGGCAAGTGTGGATGAAAGTGCCCTCTATGAAGACAAGAAATTCAGTAGAGGGACTGACTTGAAGAGCCATGTTTTGTTAAGTTGATGATCCTTGTGAATGTTGAGACAGAGATGTCCAGGGGTGGAGGGCGTTTTCATCTAGCACTCAAGACAGAGGGGGTGAGACTCTCTGCCTCTTGACTAAAGCCATGGATGAGAAGAGGGCAAAGGGGAAGATCCTGCGATCTCTGACTTGGAAGGGTGACAGCATGGAGGGCTTAGGAATGAAACTAAGGAGGAAAAGCCAGGAGGAAAGAGTGGGCTGGTCAGGGAGGATGATGTCCTGACAGCCAAGGTGATGGAGTTTCAAGAAGAGTAGTGACCAACAGGGCCAAATGTCAAGGCCATTCAAGTGGTAGAAAGACAGAAGAGAGCCCATCAGACTGGGTATTTGGGAGTAGGGACCCCAGTCATCCACATCTGTAATATGAGGCCTACTTAGCAGCTTGTTCTAAGAGGGATCTGGAAGCCAAATTGCCTGAGGAGTGGCTGAAAGAACCAGGATGCTTCACCTGGAAGAGATCAGGTTTTCCAGATACTGAAAAAGCACTGGAAAGCAGACTAGATACATGTGGGCGGCCTTTCACAGTCTGGCCTCGGGCCTCAATTCAGGGAGGCAGAATTGCCCCAGAATTGCATGGGGCAGGCTGTTTGTGTTCAGCATAAGGATATATTTACATCCATTAGAACTGTCCTGAGATGGGATGGGTGTCTTGGGAAGTGAACGCCACATCCTCTCACAAGCTGGGGAAAGATCTCCCAGTCTATGAGCTGCTTCTGTACCTGTCCTAAATCAAACATAGACAAAAATAATGCAAATGCTGAGAGTATCACACACAGGCTGCACTGGGATACCAGAGAGGGGCTGAGGCTGAGTGGGCTGGACAGGGTTGTTTCTAAGGTGCTGGTCACTCCAAGCTACTGCAGATCCCTGACTTCCTCAGGAATGTATTCCAGCATTCCTGCTATTCATTTTGCAGTTAGTTCATACTCTTCCTTCACCAATTTAAATCTGTTTCCTTCAGTCCTGAAGATGAATGCTAATGAACCCAAACAGCACAAAAGATGAGACAACAGTCTAACGTCATCTTGGGTTTGCTCTGGGAGCCATAAGCAACTAGGCTCCCTCACCATGTGACAGACACATCCTAACTGGACTCGTTACCAAGAGGACAGTATGTCCCTTTCTACTTCTTGATGTCTCCTCTTTTTTAGTGACAGATGTTCTGCCCTGTTGACATGCAACTGTCCCTGTGGGCAGACCACAGGTGAGAAGATGTCTTGTGTAACCAATAAATCCACTGTCACCTCAGTTTAGGACCCTGAACAATATATCCTGAGGGAGAGAAAAAAATGATTATAAAAATACTGAGTCTATACCATGTGTCAGGCCCAACACTTGATACTTGATATGTGATGCTACTTGCTATCTGCTGGCTAGCCCCACAGACATCCCCACTCCTTTCTGTTCTACCACAGAAGAAGGGAGCATTTTTTCCACCGGGGAGGCACGTGACACAATTCTGCCCAAAGAGAAATAAGTTGTAGCTTTTCTTTTTTTTTTCTTGAGTTGGAGTCTCACTCTGTCACCCAGACTGGAGTGCAGTGGCCGCTCCCGGCCACCGCAGCCTCAACCTGCTGGGCTCCGGCGATCCTTCCACCTCAGCCTTCCAAGTAGCCGGAATTACAGGCATGCGCTACCACGCCCGGCTGATTTTTTGATTTATTGTAGAGATAAGGTCTCGCTGCCCAGGCGGGTCTCAAACCCACGGGCTCAGGCAATCCACTCACCTCAGCCTCCCAAAGGCGCGGGATTACAGGCTGAGCCACCGAGCCCGGCAGTTGTAGCTTTTCTTGATCAAAGGGACCAATCTAGCAGGTGCTGTCTTAAAGAGGGCTGTGAGGCATGGAGCTGAAGCAGGGGGAAGGTGTGGCCATGAGGGAAAGGTCAAGAGAAGGACTGTGGCTTCGACCTTGACATCTTGAAGTCACTGCACCAACAGTTGCTATCTTTAATCTTATTTTATTATGTGAGAAAAACAAGCCAGGCTCTGTTTTGCTTAAGCTCCTTTTGCTCAAGTATTCCGTACAATGCAGCAGAAAAAATTCAACTGACATAGATGCGTCACCCCCCATAAGTGTCACCATGAGTCTGTGATGCAGATGCTGGGGCCCATCAACACTAAGTAACTATTCATGGGCCACATAAGCAGGAAGAGATATGCAGAGAATGCAAGCTCAGGACCGCCTGGGCCGGAAACCCAGCACCTCTTACAAAGTGATGCTGGCCCTTGGCCAGCACTCATCCCTTCGACGTCTCCTACGAGGAAAAACATTGTGGGGAATAGGATGTGTGTGCCTCTGTGATAGGGGACGGTGTGCCGCCCTGCCCTGCCTCAGACCACCTCATTTCATTACAGAGAGCCCATTCCTGCCAGTTCAGCCGGAGAGGGACATTAAGGAGACTAGGGGGCATTAAGGTACTGAGCTGGGGTTTCCTTGACTGCCTGAAGGGAGGGGGCAGGGCTGCACAAGGTGATCATCAATGTCATTCTCCCAGACACTGGAAACATTCAAAGTGAAGCTCAAGCAATTCAAAGACAGCTTGGGGGGAGAAAGCTTATGACTGCTATAGCTACATTTATGCAAAGAGACAAAAACCAAATGAACATAAACACATGATGGAGGTACTGAGGAAATGATTGTGAGTCATTTGAAATGCAAAGTGTGCTTTGGAGAACTTAGCTCCACCAACAACCCATCTGCCTATGTGCGCTGCTCTAAGGGGAGGTGATCAAGGCCTTTCCCCTGTGACTGGGCCCAGGGTGGGGGAGCCACAGCCAAGGCTTAATAACCACCCTGTCCTTCGCACACAGTAGGCCTCCTCACCAAATGGGACAGGCACAAGAGGGCTCAGTTTGGTTCAAGAAAGATCTGTCAGGGTGCAGATCTGGCTCCTTTTCTTACTGGGAACACAGAGTAGGAACTGGGTTCTAGGAGCAGGTACTGGGGGCCCAGTGGGTGAGAGTCCCTCCGAATCCTTGCGGCGGTTTCTCTGATCACACCTGTGAAAGTTACCTGGCCTGCCTTGCAAGATGAGGTGAGACAAAATGAGGCAACCATGGAAAAAAAATCAAAAGACCAACTTCTGTTTGTGATGATTCTGTGTGAAGCGTTGATAAAGCAAGCTATAATAACTGCTACATTAGGTAGAACCACATGAAATGGCTCATATGGGAATTTCACCTGTTTAAACTAGTAATCTGAAGATGAATAAACTGAAAACATAATAAAACAAAAATAAATAAATAATAAATAAAACAAACAAAATACTAAATAACTACAACAAAAATGTAAATATAAACTGTATGGCACTGGGCTGTACAGTCTGCCTGGGAGAGGGGTGCACTCTATTCTTACAGTCTTAAGCTTTGGAAGGTCCTTCGTGCACGTATTTGAGGTGCTTTAGTTGTTCAAACTCTACTTTGCTCCAGCTAGCGCTTGGGATTAAAAGAAGAAAAGGAAGGGCAGGGGCCGGTAGAGCCAGGACTGAGGCCCAAGGCAAGTGACCTGTTTTAAGGTGGGGTTCCAGACCTGCCTATGGAAGGCCATTTGTACCATCTACAATCCCTGTGGGATAGAGACAAGCCAGTTGCTCAGGAGACGTGAAACTGCCCATGGCACTAAGTTCAGACAAGATTCTGTCCCCTGGAGGTCCCCATGGCGGAGTGCTCTTGTCAAGGGCTCTGTTATTGACCCATCGCATGTCAGAGATGTGAGGGGGAGATGGGCAAGCCTGAACTCGTCAAGTGATCACCTGAGATGCACCAAGAAGATGCTGTCAGCAGAGCCTTACCGGGTCAGGTCTAGGTGGCTGATTATCAGGCTGCGTCCGTTCTCGGTCTGGGCAAGCTGCAGCAGCAGGGCCAGGCTCTGCTGCCGGATGGCCAGGACCCTGGAGGCCATGAGGGAGGGCAGCAGTCTGCCTCTGTCGGGGTGCATCACCAGCACACGCTGGTTTTCCTCTGCAAAACAAGGGGGTTGTCTGCTTCGTACACACTATGATGACAGCAAAACCAGGTCTGTCTCTCCCCATCAAAATGGGAAACCCAGCTCTTGTCTACTTATTTGAGAGGCAGGATAATGACGAGTAAGAGCGTAGACTCTAGAACCAGACTTCTGGGTCTGAATGACTTGTGCTTCTCAGTTCCCTCACCAGTAAAATGAGAATGATGATCTACCTACAGAGGTGCTATGAGGATTAAATGAGTTAGTGTGTGATTGTGCCAGACAGAGACTGACACGCATCAATCAGCTATATCATTATTGTTGTCAAAAGCCTCCTTGGGGTGTGGTACCTGGAAATGTGAGCACAGGGAAAGAAATCAGCTTAACTCTGGACTGTCTTTAGACCATCAGTCTTCACATAATGGCCAGAGTAGCCATGTGAGGAAATGTTACCCGGGACTAATAAAGCATGCTCTCTTTCCTGGACTCTTGCTATTTACAGGGTGGCAGCATTGAGTTACTCTCCTTCACCTTCACCTGTGAGGTCTTCTGACCAGGTGCGTGGATTTGTGTGAGCAGGCAAGGATGCAGCCTGCAGGGTGAGGATAAGCTATGAAACAGAGGACAGCAAACTGGATCTGGAGGGAGGGAACCCATCACCTGGGCCTCATCACCCAGGCCTCTCTCCCATACTGTGCCAAGTGCACCAGTCAAGCAGAAGACACACCCCAGGGCTCTTCTAGTCCTGAAAGAACAGGGCAACGGGAGTGCAAGATCTGGTGTGAAGCTCACACATCAAACAGCTTTCACTGAAACATTGTATCTCCATCCTACGCTTCACCCACGATGACTCCTGACGGTGCGAAATAGGATTCACTGGTTTTCAAAATGGAAAGGTTTCTGTTGATTTGTTTAGTTTATATATGTTTCCTTATACTGGAAAAGTAGCTTGTAAATAATTCAAATAACTCAAAAGTAGTATAAAGCTGAAAATGAAAGTCCCCTTGTCTGGTGCTCCTTCAGGTAAGCCTATTCCCCAGAGGAGTTATTATTCACACCTCGCATGAATAATGTTCAAAATATTACACATCCTCCCTGTAACTGGCTTCTCTTCCTCACTCAACAATATTTCACTGACACATTTTCATGTCCTTATTTTTAAGCATTCCCTTGCCCTTTAAAAAAAACTGCTTTGTATTTATTGAGTTAGCTATATCAAGATTTCATTGATCTGAGATGCGGCATTCACATCACAGGGTATGTCTGACTATTTTTCAGATGTTAGAAAGAAATGTCAAACTTCGAAGTTCACGGAAACCAGTCAATGGGTGGCTATGTCAGCTTCATGCCAGTTAAACACAGCATCACCAAGTTCTGCCTTCCTCACTCTCCTGCAGGGAGATTTGCAAAACCACTGCCCTCACCCCATGCAGGTTCTATGTAGAGCAGCAGGGCACCTCAGTGAGGACATTAGTCTGGGCATAATTCCCTTCAGGAAGCAGGCCCTCTGGCATTGACTGTTCTAGAACTTAATTTCTTAAGTTTGTAAAATTCCTCCACTCTACTCAATCAAGACAACAATGGTATTATCTCATACTCAGCATTTGATAGCGCACACACTGCAATCACAAGTGCCATCACTGGCTTCCCACCGTGACCCTGTGCAAAGGAGACACAGCAATTATTTTTCCCATTTTCAGTTTTGTCTCCAAGGTCAAATCTTTTCCTTTGAAACACTTTTTAAAATGATGGAAATACTTAAATTTTTGTTTCCGTGGAAGTGACGTAAGTGAGTAAGAAAGATTTGTTCTTTGAGAAGATGCAAATATGAAAACTTCCTAAGAGTTAACACAGTAAATAAAGTCCCTGCAGCATTCTACTGTCACAATATGAGACACGAATCAGCATCTGAGGATGCTGGCAGAGTGAGCATAAATCTCAGGATGCTGAAATAGGTACTGTGGTCAACAAAAAGGAACAATATTTTTAGGCAGACTAAAAAGAAAAACTCCATCCAGCCCTTTGCCAGGGCATGAGCAGAAGTCATGAGTCTGCAGAGAGCAGGGGGAGGGAAGCAGGGAGAGAGGAGGGTGCTCTCCAGGCTGACAGGGACCTCCCTACCCCACCTCAATCCACCTTGCTTTTGATCACTTGCTTTTTTTGGAGGGAGGGGTGTGTGGAGGTATAGATATCAACTCTCAGGACTGGCCTTCAGGGAGGAAGGCCCCGCTCTCTGGTGTGGCTCCTGCACCCATAGCACATGAATGGTGATCCACGATGACTACCCAGCTTACCATTCCCACTGCAAACTGCTTGCCAGAGCTTGAGGACAGACACACACACTGTCTCTTCCACGATGTCCTTTTCTGACGTGGAAAAGCACCTAGAGTGAACAAGGAAGAGCAATCTTAAATCTAGAAATCAGTCTTGACTTTGTTTTTATTAGGTTTTATTTTACACTCAGACTCGCCAAATGCAGGGATGAGAAATTAATTTTATATCTAGAGCTACAAGCCACCAGGATCAATGAACTGTTGATCCATGAACAAGTTCCAGGTCAAGGACACGGGCTGAGGAGCCGGGGAGGTACAGGGTATGGGCAGTGAGCCAGGGACAGGGGTGAATGGCAGCAATGGGACCAACAAACTGCCACTGGGCATACAAGCATGGACTGGTGACTCCAACCCACACCAGCGTGCTCAGCCTCAGGAATGATGCCAGAACAATTGAAACACAATATAAAACACAATAAAAACAAATTTAGCAGACTACCTCCAACCATATGAATCTGCTTTCTGATGAAATTATAAATGGGACCAGCCAGCACCCAGTGGATCTCACTTCTTGATTAGATCAGTAAATTCTAAAAGATGAAGAGAACAAATGACAATCTTGCAAAAACTGGCGGGAAGCCAGCAAGAATGGTCATTTCTCTGACTCTGAAGTGCTTGGAGGAACCCTGGAAAGTGCTGCTATTCCTTCTTGCACCCATAGTGAGTTGTGGCATAAGTCAAGTGACCTGAGTTCGGGGCTCAAAAGTGTTCTTGTCATGGCTCTGTGCTCCTGGGGGGGGCCCACTCCTGACTGAGGGGCCTATGTGACTAGTGTCTGAGTTTGCAAGACATGGTTATCTTTTTCTGCTTTGATGCTAGGCTGCCCTTACATCCCTACCTTCTTATGACTTCGTTGTCACTGATGACACTGAATCCATTGTGTGTTCTGAATAAAGTTTGTTCCGTGCCTGAAACAGATGCGTGGAAACCCATGTCAGATTCCAAATCATGTCAGACCCCTGAACTGGCTGATGTCTAGCTGCAGCACAGGCTAGCTGCTAATGAGAAACCTACCATGGCATGCCAGGGTCACCACACTAACAGTCTGGCAGAGGCAAATACCTTTACATGCTAAAAATGCAGCTGTCAGCAGCCACTCTGTGCCACAGACTGAGGGACTGTCCAGAGAAGGGGAGAGGAGCCAGGTGGCCTGACCCCGTGGGTTATCTGTACAACCCTTCATTTTGTAACCTTTACCAAGCCTCCAGGAGCTGCTCAACCTCTGGGAACAACTGGCATGTCCATCTGCTCTTAAATATTTATTTCAAGGCTGTTTCCAGGCTCTGGGGAGGAACCTATAGTCTTCCAAGAAACTGCTGAAGGGGATATCTGTGCACCCTCCATAGTAAACTAAAGGGAAGCCAGAGAAAAGGGAAGCTAGAGACTCCACTTATTTGTACAAACAACATTCTGTCACTGGGTACACAATTGTTTAAGCCCTGGTCTCAGTGTTTACAAGAACTGGTAAAAGAGAACAGTGTGTCTCTCATTAGTAAGAAGAAAGCGAATGTTTGCTCTGAAGCTACTTTCATGTCCTAAGCAGCCATTAGGCATAACTGGGATGAACCTTATAGTTTATCCCACAGAATTCTGCTTTCCATTTCTCTAGGTGGGGGGAAGGTGTGTGGGGTGATATAGTGTATTTGGGGTATACATGGAATATGTGTGGGTTATTTGCAAGATGTGGGGGGGTATGTGGAGAAAGCCTGAAGGTGGAGTTGGGTAGACATTGATGTATTTATGGTGTGAGTGTGTGCTGTGTGTGTGGTATGTGGTGTGTGTAATATAAGTATATAACAAGAGAGTGAATGCTGTGTGCATGTGTATGTATGGTGTATATAAGTATATGGGAGGACCACAAAAAACTAGAATTTATCTTTTTTTAAATGTGTATTTATTCTTACAAGTTGAAACTTCAGTCATCTTCAGAGAACTCTCTGTTTGATGCAATACATTTATTGAGACACTTTTTTCACTGCTCAAAACAATTTTAAGTTGTCAACCTTGATGGCTTTTAGTGCTTCTGCTGCTTTTTTGTTTGCTTGTTTTGTTTTTTCTCCTTTTCTGCATTGGCAAAATATTCCCTTTTGAGGACTCTTTTTCATCCATTCATCCAACAAAAAAAAAGTCACTTGGGGCAAGACTGGGCGAACAGGGAGGGTGAGACATGGGGCTCATGCCATTTTTGGTCAACACCGCTGAACACTCAGCATGCTGTGGGCAGGTTGTTCATAGAAGTCACCATCATGAAATGAGCAAGCATGTTGAAAGAATCTCCAAAAAAAAAATTCACTGACGCTGAATGTAGCCACTCACAACAATGCTAGCTGATACACTGATGCCGATGGGTTCCAAGAACACTGACTTAGTGGGGAAAGCCTGTACTTCACAGGGCCCATCCTCCAAAAACAATTTGAGGTTATTTTGTGTCCCGTCTGCATATGGAGTGAACATGTCCGTGTGTGTGTGTGTGTGTGTGTGTGTGTGTGTGTGTGTATGTGTGTGTGTGTGTGTGTTGCTGTGGGTGGTTATTGCATGTGTGTTGAGCATATGCACGCTCTGGAGAGACAGAGCAGGGGTGTGGGTCTTAGCATCTCCATTGGAGTGGGGCTTCCATCCACATTTGAGGAGGGATGGGTGGGACCCTTGGCTTCACAAAGGCAGGCCTCTAAACCCTTTCCTTTCACACTACAATACTCATGAAATCACACAGACATCTCTGGCTTACAATCCTTCATCATCTCAGTCAGGATCTCAATCCCCCCTGCATAGAACAAGGGGATCTGGTCAAGCTTGGCAAGAGTCTCCAGGAGATTTCTGGTTGTCACAGCCATATTCTTTCCTGAATTCAGCAGCTCATGGGCTTCCTTCTCTTGAAGATCTGCTTTCTCTCGAAGATCTACTTGATTCAGGTAATCTAGCAAAGCAAGAAGGAAAACAAACAAACAAACAAACCCAAACAAAACTCTAACAATCAACAAAACCACACAAGCAGCAACCTTTTTTTCCTTTCTTTTGAGGATGGGAGGTTGAAAAGCATAAAGCATTAAAATAATCCAAACTCTTCTTCAGAAAGAAAAATTCAGAAACAGTGTGACATCTGTAACCAGGGTCTTAAACCATCTTGGGGATTCAAGGCAGTGTAGAAGGCTCTAAGGGTGGGTGGGATAGAGGAGGAAGAAGGCAAACTTGTGGGGGGGCACAGGGCAGAGGAGCAGGGAAGGCCTGATACGAGTGGGAGCGAAGGGAAGGCTGTTGCCTGTGGCCAAGGGCAGCAGAGGCGAGGCGAGGCAGGCATACGCCAGGGCGGGAGCACGAAGGAAGATGAGATTCAGATGAAGGACATCAGCAGGGACATTCTCACCTTTCACCTGAGTTTGTAGCTTGGGGTTTAGTTCTAAGATCTTCCAATAACACTCTCTAGACTGGAAAAAAGAAACAAGACCTTGAAGAGTGGTTAGAGGAAAGGTGATTATGAGGAAGACACTGGGCATCATGGGGCTTGGCGGCTTCATTATTTTCTCCTCGCCTTCGCCTGCTCCCAGCGCAGGAGGATGGCATGAGAACACAGTGTGTATTTGACATTTTGTTCGGGCTTCTGCAGTTCTAGGGGGCAATAGGTATTATTTCAGAATTCATCTTTAAAAAACAGAGTTGTCAGATACAGACTGCGATAAAAAATAGCTAGTCCTACATTCTTGTGACTTGTATCTGTCTGGGATAGGAATACTCATAAGGTAAATGTGAAAACTTAGGTATGATATTTGCACAGCGAATAGGAGGCTACCTGACAGATACGCCCACGGGGAGGTAGGAAATAAATGAGCTAGAGACAGTATTGACCAAGACACAGGACTAGGAAGAGAGCTGTCTAGTTACATGTCCAGGCTGCACAGAGAACCGGCAAGGGGTCCATTTATTGGCCACATAAGAGTCAGCAAGAAAACTCAAAAGTGAAGGGTACTTGCTGAGGAAATTGATGATAGAAAGTTTCTGGAAAAAGAAACATCTGGTTCATGGAGATTTCAGATTTAGGACAATATTTTCCCCAAGGATATGAGAATGGTCCAAAGTATAATCCAACCAGTTACTGAGGGGAAAAACTTAGAAAAAAACAATTATGAAATATTTTGAAGGTCAAGGCTCATCTAGAAGCTCAGGATTTAGAAATAAATGGAAGAAAAGCATAACACATTAAAGCAGAGAACAGAGTTGCAGTCATAGAAATATGTGTATCAAACAGAGTGGGCCTATATCCAACTTCTCTTCAACTCCCGATCTAATCTATCAACAATTTCTGTTGGCTTCATCGTAGTATATATCTAGATTCCCACCACTTTTTATCACCTCCATCATCACCAACCTGGTCGAAGCTATCATTACCTCTTGCCTGGATATTTATGCAAATAGCCTCCTCTGTTTTCTGTTCTTATCTAGCCATGACAAAACATATTCTCAATAAAGGAGTCAGAGCAATTCTTTAAAATATAAGACAGATCATGTCATTCCTTCACACAAAATCCTACAATGGCTTAGAGATCCCTCAAGGTCCTCTGAAAAGCTTGTAGGGCCCTGTGGGCCCAGCCCCCTCTAATCCCTCTCTGACCTCATCACCTGTCACTCTCCCTTGCTGGCTGCATCCTAGCCATCTACCAGGAATGTGCCTCTCTCATACATCCACATGGGTTGCTCATTTCACTCCCTCCCTTCCTTTGGGGAAGTCTTTCTTCACCACCCCGTATAAAAACAATCTCACCTTCGCTGCTTCCTGATTTATTTTTTTCAAGAACACTTATCACCACCTAACATACTACACATCTACTTTATTGATTTTTGTCTCCTAGCCACCAAGAATGTGAAGTTCCTTGAAGTCAAGAACTTTGCTTAATTCACTGCTGCATTCTTATTGCCTATATTGACAATGCCTGACACATAGAAAGCATGCAATAAATATTTGCTGAATGAATTAGTTAATTGAATGAGTAAATGAAATTTGGTGGAGAAGGGAGAATTAACATTTTCTTTATTCACATTTTCTATCTGAGCTTATAACCATAAGCCTGTATTGCTTTTACAATTAAAATCCAACAAAGGAAAAACTTTTTTAAAATGTCAATGAAACAATTTATTTTAAAAACATATAAATGAAAAGACACTCCATGTTGATAGCTTGGAAGACTTAATATTGTTCAGATAGCAATAGTTTCCAAATTTATCTACAGATTTATATAATACCCATCAAAATTCCATCTGGTTTCTTTAAAGAAACTCACAAGATGATCCTAAAGTTCATATGGAAACTCAAGATAACTACAATAGCTAAAGCAATCTTGTAAAAGAAGAGGAACAAATTTGAGGGACCTGCACTTCTTAATTTCAAAACTTATTACAAAGTTACAACAATCAAGATAGCATGGTACTAGTACAAGGGCAGAAATGTAGAGCAATAACATTGAAAGTCCAGAAATAAACCCATATATTTATAGTCAATTGATTTTTTATAAGAGTGCCGAAATCATTCAATGGGAGAAAGAATAGACAACTGAGACAACTGTGAACCACAGGCAAAAGAATGACATTGAACCCCTACCTCACACTATATACAAAAATTAACTAAATTAATCAGCAATCTAAATGTAAGAGCTAATGCCATAAAATTCTTAGAAGAAAACATAAGTGTAAATCTTCATGACCTTGGATTTGGTCATTGTTTCTTAGATATGACAATAAAAGCACAAGCAACCAAAGAAAATATAGGTAATTGAGACTTCATCAAAATTAAACATTTTTGTGTTGCAAAGAACACCATCAAGAAAGTGAAAGGCAACATACAAAGTGAAAAAAATTAGTAAATCATGTATCTGATATGACACTTGTATCCAGAATACATAAAGAACTCTTATAACTCATTACAAAAAGATAAATAATTTAATTTAAAAATGGGCAAAAGTTCTGAAAAGATACTTCATTAAAGAAAATATACAAGTGGCCAATAAACACATAAAAAGATTTTCAACATCATTAGCCACCAAAAACGCAAATGAATACCACAATGAGATATTATTTCACATCTACTAGAACTGCTAAAACCAAAAATATAAATATAACAAGTATTGGAGAGGATGTGGAGAAACCAGAGCCCCTGTACGCTATTGGTAGGAATGTAAACTGCTGTAGCCATTTCAAAACAATTTGGGAGTTCCTCAAAAGGTTAACCATAGTTACCACATAGCTTGGCAATCTACTCCCAGATATATACCCAAGAGGATTGTAAATATTAAAAAAACCTGCACATAAATGCTCATAGCAGCATTATTCATAGCATTCAAAAGGTGAAAACAATCTAAATGTCCATCAGCTGACGAATGGGTAAATAAAAAATAAGGTATATTCATGCAAAGGAATATTGTTTGGCAATAAAAATGAAGAACTGATATATGCTATGAAAACATTATATTAAGTGAAAGATATCAGTCATAAAAATAACACATATTGTATGATTCTATTTATAAAAATCTGCAGAGTAGGCAAATGTATAGACACAGAAAGATTAGCTATTGCTTAAGTAGGAGGTAGGGGTGAGGTGGAGAGGACTGACTGCTAATGGGTACATGATTGTTTTAGGAGGGGACAAAAATGTTCTACAATTGATTGTAGTGATGGCTGCCCAACTCTGTGACTATAACAAAAATCACTGAGTTGTACAATTTCTGTAAGTGAATTGAATGGTATGTTAATTATATCTCCATAAAGTGGCTACTAACAATATTCATATCTTAGTGTGTGTGTGTGTGTGTGTGTGTGTGTGTGTGTGTATACACCTACATACCAGTATGGTTATTTTTGGGTGACGAGATGACAAGTGAACTTCATTTTCTCATTTTGTTTATGGCCTTTATCTCCAGAGAGTAAACAAACACTGGCCAAAGATGTTGAAGAGGTGGTGAAGTTGTAACTGACACCCACCAACAACCTTCCCAATGGTAAGATCTTGAGATTTATTTTGGAAAATACTAAAGGGTGGGTTAATACCTAATCAGCTTGGAGAATCATGGTCTTCTTCTGTGAAAATAGGAACTATCACCCTGTGATCAAACATGTCACTTACATTCCTCTAAGAACTTACCACACTGTAGTTCTTCAGGGCCAGGTGGGCTTTTCCCATGTGGAAATATGCTTTTGTGCATTTTTCATCACACTGCATAAAAAAGAATGACTGATCAGAAGTTTCAGAGGGTTTGAAGTCAGTAGCCACTCTCCTCACTGCCCTACCCACTAACACAGTTAAGGCAGAGCTTTGGTTCTCAGGACAGCTACAAGAGTTGACAATTACAACTTTTCTGTGCATCTGTGACCAGACTAATTGATGCCTGCAAGGAGCCTGAATGTACCAGTAGGCTCTCTATCAAATTAATTAATGATACCTGCCAGTTTTCATTTCTATTTAATGAGACTCAATCAGGAAGCAAAGCAGAAACTCTTAGTTTAGAAGAGCTCTTAACATTGGGTGAACATTAGAATCACCTAGGATGTTTATAAAAATCCTGCCAACCAGGCTGTGTCCCACACCAATTAAATTATACTCTGAAGTAGGGCCAAGGCATCAATCAATTTTTAAGTTCCTCGGGTGATGTACACATGCAGTCCAGTTAAAAAGGGCAGGCAAAGGAGGAGGGATCAGAGCTGGACCTGAGTGACATGGAGAGGTGAAGAGAGGAGAATGGTGGAAGAACAGGCCGGGCCAGGGCCACGGTGAGAGAACAGGGGCCTCTGTGGGTACTCCAACTGGGACGGAGGGGCAAGTGCTGGGTGGAGGGAAGATTGGCTGGACAGGGTGAGCTAGACAGGACTCCACATGGAGCCCGTGAATACAGGCCAAGGAGGAGAGTCACCAAGGGCGGTGTGCAAGCGAGCAGGTCTGGAGGTGGCCTGCAGGTGTGACCACAAAAGGGAAGGGCTGGGAGATGATGAGTGAAGAGACCAGATCAGTTCCTGCGGACAAAGGCCGATGTCCGAAGTACTGGCGATGCGGGAGTGAAGGAAGTGTAGACACCAGAGCTACGCCAAGAAAGCACTGACCGGCATCTGTTAGTGATGAGGGTGAAGGCAGGTGTGAAGTAGAAACTGGGGGTCTAGATGCCCGGAAGACACGCTGTGTTTCTAACAGAAAGGGTTCAGTCAGGGCAGGGAGTGTGGAAGGCAGAGTGGGGAAATGAAGAGTTGGCTTCTAGACATACTGAGTTTCAGGTGAAGCCAAGATGACCAAAAGGAACCCGCGGGAGGCAGGTGGAATGCAGGTCTGGATTCAGGGGAAGGGGAGGCTGGGTAAGTAGGTCTAAGAGCCGTGTGCCGAGATGACAGTTGAACACAAGAGAGGAGAGCTCTGAGGAAGCAACTGCAGGGAGAAGAAAGGCAGGGAACAGAGACATGAACCTTGGTGAAATCAGAGGATGAAACTGAGGAAGCAGGAAAGGAACGATAAACGGAAAAAGAGGACACTCTAGCACTCTAGCCCAAGCAAGTCAAATCTTCATAGTGTATTCACTGGCAGAGCACCAGGGTTACAACAGGCGGGGTGACCAAGCCCAAGCCTTAAAGCCTTGTCCATGGCCTGCTGTGTGCCACCGTGAAGCGGGCATAGGTGACTTCACCTTCCTCCGACAATGACGCAAAGGGCCGCTAATGGATTTTCGCGCTAACAGGCCTGCTCTCCTTTGATCATATGACAACCCTCAGTAGAATTTTCTTGAGTGAACTCCAGGTTTCCTTTAAAGAAATCCTGCCTTCAGAGGAAGATATATTTCACTGCACAGGAAGTGTTCTGCCGGGAAAGAAATGATTCTGATCCTAATTGAAACCAGTTTTGCTGCCTCATCTTCCTTGACAGGAAACATCAGTCTTGAAATATCATCACATGAACTTGTCTCTATCAATTTCAATGTATCAAAAATATTAAAATGGCAAAAAATGCCAGTAATATTAATAATAAAGTGCCAATGACATTCACAATTGATATATTACTTTTATTTTGTTATTTTTTATTTTTATTTTTTGAGTTGGAGTCTCACTCTGTCGCCCAGACTGGAGTGCAGTGGCCGCTCCCGGCCACCGCAGCCTCGACCTGCTGGGCTCCGGCGATCCTTCCGCTCAACCTTCCAAGTAGCCGGAATTACAGGCATGCGCTACCACACCTGGCTGATTTTTTGATTTATTGTAGAGATGAGGTCTCATTGCCCAGGCAGGTCTCGAACCCGCGGGCTCAGGCAATCCACTCACCTCAGCCTCCCAAAGGCACGGGATTACAGGCTGAGCCACCGAGCCCGGCTGATATATTACTTTTAAAGATAATAAAATTTTTTCTTTTAACTTGCAGCTGCTACATAGAATTGAGGAGCTTTTAGAACGCTCTGTACATTTTTTTCTCATCTCTCCAAGTGTTTACCCAAACCTCTTCAACTGGGAGCCTCGCTGGGCATTTAACAAGATTGGCTGCTGAGTGTCAGTGTTTTTTAATGCTAGCTCCATTGGGTCTGTTTTGCCTGGGTTTCACCATTAATTACATTGTGCTTCAATTAATATTTGGGAATGGGTCAGTTGTTTATCCTGAATCAGCACAATGCTGTGTCTACCTCTTTAGCTTTTTTCAGGTCAGAAAAAATATTCTTGGAGGACCTGTGAGATCTTGTTTCTGCCAGAAAAGGGAATGAGATCTGCATCAAGAAATTATAGAGTTGCAAGTTTCAGTGAAGAGGCCTTTTATAGTAGATGGTTAAGAGCACGGGCTTACAGATAGAGCGACACTAGCTTCATGATCCTGCACAAGTTACATAATTCATCAGTTACATGAGGCTCGGTTTCCTTATCAGAAAAATAGAGAAAAATAGTGATATTGGAAGGACAAAATAGAACATTCTGATCATACAGCAAATGATGGTTTTTGCTGCTATTATTGGAACAACTAAGGAAAATGTTCTTGCCTCTCTCTTCTCTTGCAGAATGATGGCAGAAAAAGATATCATGATCAAGGTGACCCAGCAGGTTCATGGATATAAGCTGGAGCTGTGAGGAGCTGTCATTAGCATTGGGCAACTCTGAGAACAAGATTTGCCACACACTGTGACTTCTTTTTTTTTTGAGTGGAAGTCTCACTCTGTCACCCAGACTGGAGTGCAGTGGCCGCTTCCGGCCACCGCAGCCTCGACCTGCTGGGCTCTGGCGATCCTTCCGCCTCAGCCTTCCAAGTAGCCGGAATTACAGGCATGCGCCACCACGCCCGGCTGATTTTTTGATTTATTGTAGAGATGAGGTCTCGCTGCCCAGGCGGGTCTCGAACCCGCGGGCTCAGGCAATCCACTCACCTCAGCCTCCCAAAGGCGCGGGATTACAGGCTGAGCCACCGAGCCCGGCTCACTGTGACTTCTAAGGGATACAGACAGACATTCCAGATGTCGATTTTGGAGGGTCCCTATTTTATGAACCACGATAAGCAAAGGTGTCTTTCTAATTCATACCTGTTTCCCTTTCTTACTCTCTCAATAAACAGTAAACAAGTGGACATGGCCAGCATGTTGCCATGAAAGTGTGCTCTTGTCTAGGGCCTGCTCATTAGGGCATGACCGGTATGCTGTAGCAGGGAATCGAAGTCACAGACATTCCCCTGGCACCTTGGTTTTACTGAATTGTATAGTATTTAAAATAAAATTGGTATTTTGAAACAAACAGATACACTTTATGAAGTGCCATGCCAAATTCACCAGGACTTTTGAGATCAAACACGTCTTAAAAGAAATTACATGCTTTCTGCTGAGGGCTTCTCAAGGGGCTCGTGTTCATTTTCCTCTGCTATTGGCAGCACTTCAGTGCAGAGGTCGGAGTTATTTAGCTAAAGCTCCCTATGACACTGACTGAGGGAAATGTGGACTCAGGGCTTTAAAATATTTAGTTACTGGAAATAAACAACGTCCCTTAGAAGCGATCATGCCATTCCTCTTTTAAAAACTCTTCACATTCCCATCAACAGTCCTCACTTCTGTGCATCTTTGATTGTCTACTTGGGGCAGATTTCACAAGAAATACCACGCACGGTATTATTCCACCTGCCTGAGATCCGACTAAAGTTAGTAATAGAAATTCCTTCTTCTGATGATGCTTCTACAAATAGAAGGTGCTATATTTCCAAATTATTAGAACTGGAGGGGAAAAAAAAAACCAAACAGGCACAAACTGATGAGGAAGAACAACACTGCTGAAGCAAGCTGCCATGGCTGACTCAAGAGAGAAGGAGGCACTTCCACCATCACATGGAACAAAGCAGCTAATAAGACAATAGTAAACAATGCGGTGTTGCAATAAGACCTTGAAAAACCAGTACCAACAGCAGCTTCTCTGGAGTGCTCACTAGGAACGAGGTACTTCATGGGCACTATCATGACCCTCATGATATTTCTCTTCTATCCCATTGCATAGATGAAGAAACTGAGGCTCTGCCTGTACCCTTTCCTAACAGTACACTGGCAGCTCCCTCCCTTTTACTTACCAGTACTGTCACATGGGGAAGGAAATATTCTCTTACCTTCAGAGCCCAGTCACAATCCACTAGTGCCTTCTCATAGTCTCCAAGTTTTATATACGCCTGGAATGATACAAATAGTTGACAGTCATGCAAAACTGTACCGTGCCATCTTCAGGCCACCTAGAAAGAGTAGTTGAGCAGTCGAATGGGGACGAGGAGTAACTGACCCCTACTGGGTCAGTTGTGGTCCCTGCAGGAGACAGGTGGCACACTCACATTGGGAAGCTGAGGAGAGTTTAGTACAGGGACTACTTCCAGGGTGAGGACGGGACCTGGGGAAACTAACAAGGGATGTTATAGAACCCCAGGGCTAGCAACAGTGGACAGCCATTACACTGAAGGGGTGGAGGGAGGGACTAATGATAGCTCCGTGAAGAGGCTGCCTGACGTGATCTGAGGCCTTCCCTAGAGCCACAAGCCAGGGAAATAAGAGTACCTCAGTCTCACTTTCCTCCTTTCTTCTATCCATTGGCTGAACCCAAAGGGAAGCTAGAGGGCTGGGAAGCCAAGGAGCCTGTGCACACAGGCCAGGCCTACAAGGTGCAGGGAAGGGCAGAGAAGGATCTGGAGGGGTGCACAGAAAAGACCAGCACACTAACCACATCTGCAAAGAAGGTGTTAGCCTTGGAGTCTACCTTGCTGTGAATGTCCCAGAAGGACACCAAAAGATAAAGGGAATCAAAAGATAGATAATAAGAAGTGTCAGAAAAAATGTGGAAAAATGGAACCCTCATACCCTGTTGGTGGGAATGTAAAATGGTGCATTCCCATTGGAAGATAGTCTGGCTGTTCCTCAAAAGCTTCTTCAACAGAGTCAGCCTACGACCCCAGCAATCCTACTAGGTGCATACTCCCCAAAAGACTGCAAACATGCAGTCATACAAAAACCTGGGCGTGAAAATGCATAGCAGAATTATTCACAATAGCCAAAAAGCAGAAGCAATCCAAATATCTGTCAACTGATAAATGGATACATAAAATGTGGCATATCCATACAGTGAAAAATTATCCGGCAATAAAAAGGAATGAAGAATTGATATATACTGCAACATGGATGAACCTTGAAAGTATTATGATAAATGAAAGAAGCCAGTCACAAAAGGACACATATCATATGATTATATTTATAAGAAATGTCCGGAACAGGCACATACATGGAGACAAAAAGTAGACTGGTTGTTACCTGGGCTGGGAATGGGAGTGGGAGGACTGGGGGGTGACAGTTAAGAATACAGAGTTTCTTTTTGGGATGATGAAATGTTCAAAAATTGATTGTGAAGGCTGCACAGCTCTGGGATCATACTAAAAACCATTGAATTGTACACTTTATGTGGGTGAGTTGTATGGTATGTGAATTATAGCTCGATAATGCTGTTATCAAAAAATAAAGAAAAAGTTCTGTGTCAGTCCTCATGAGCACAGCAAGAAGGAAGAAATACAGGAAACAGACTGACACTGAAGAGCCAGACCGTCACCATGAACTCTCGGTATCAAAAGTCTGGGGCACCATAGAATTTCCTAGAATTGGCAGAAACCCTGAAAATCAAGAATTGACTCCAAATTCTGTGATCCACTCAAACTAAACTGACTTGAAAATTAGTTCATTTAAAGTTGCCCAAACCTACAAGCATATAAACAAATAAAAGGTTGTTTAAAAACATGCACAATGGCTACTGTGACCTCTGTATTAATTACTGGTCACAGTAAGTGGTCAATAAATTCTTATCAAGTTGCACTAAGCAGATCTGAAGCACTCTTCTTTTAGAAAGCTCCCTAAGAGGCAGTAACGGTCATCCCATTGTAAGAAAGGAAAGCCAAGCACCAGGGAAGTGACTTTTCCAGGGTCCATCAGTCACCAGTAATAAAGCCAGTACTACATGTAGGTTTGCCCATGATCAAAACTGCACCAAGGCACTGGAATACTCTTAGCAATGAACCTGTGAGATATTTACATGGACAAGCCAATTATAGGGTCAGCACTGTAACTCATGGGGAATCTAAGTATCCAACCACAGTGGTGAGAGAACGGTAATAGCCAGCTAATGAATTTCTGCAGTGCAGCTCTTGGCTGTGAAAGAAAGGAAGCTGCGATGCGGTGTTTTCATTAACTCAGGTTCTGTACTAATTGGAGAAGACGACTCTTTGAGCTGTCCTGTTCTATAAAGCATCATCCTTTCCTCCAGGGTCTTGGGTTTCATTTGAAAGTCAGAGCATGTGAGAAAGAAGTTGGTATCATTCCAGACAACTGTAGCCACAATTTCATGACACTGTAATTCAGGATACATCAAGACTTTGAAAAAGTCCATATGGGTTGCAACAATTTATAAAGCCTTTTGCTTTTTCTTTGCTTTATTTTTTAAGGCTTGGATTCAACACCCTATAACTTCCTCAATCTCTTTTGCTTTTCCAATGAGCAATTAAATTCCAGATTTATCTAAATTATGCTGGTAATCTATTGATCATAACATTAGCTCCAGAAGAAAAACAAAAATGAAAGGGTACTTTTCTCTCTAGCAAGCAACACTCAGTTTGTAGGGTTCTTATTGTTTTCTAACATTGCATGTATATAGGAGAGCCATCTTAAAAATATTCAGTGGTTCAAAGGATTCGTAACAGCAGGCAGCACATTTTGCATTTTCTGTTCTATGCATAAACTTATTCCTTGGGAAAGCTGGGAGAAATCACTCCCCCAAGCTTACATTGCATTTACTTATATTTATCTATGTTCATTCTTAATGTGATTCTTCAGAACTAATCAAAGTGCTGCTTAAAATTGAGTGCAGAGAAAACGTAACTAATTTAGATGAATCAGAGTATAGACAGCCTGAATTAGATATATCTGAATTATATAACTTTTACAAAGCAATTCAATTTTATTGCTTTCAGATAACTTCAGTATAACACGACCGAACAAGCATTAGTAAGTAGATGCTTTTAGAGAAAAAATTTGGTGATAAATACAAAGAGACTATAATTTATTGTATTAATTGCTTGCATTTCAATGATTGTTCTGAATTGTCCACAGAAACTTAATTCTCTTAACTGGACTTATTGTGCCTCCAATGTTATCCAACTGAACAAGAATTTATCGAACATCTGTTATAAATAAAGCATTGGGGGAAAAGTATATGGCAGTTTTTGCCCTCAAAGAGTCTGTAATCCTGTTAGGGTAATAAAATGCTAAATTAACCTCTGGCCTTTTGTTTTTTTCCCCAATTCACTTCCTTATAACAAGTTTTCGCCACCAATGGAGGTAGTTAAATGACACCTCAACTCTAGTCTGACTTATACAAATTGCTAAACTAAGGAAGTTATACTGTCCTTGGATTGATTTATCATTAAATCACTGTCACTCCCTGACTTTCTGGCCTCCAAATGTCCTGCTTCCTGCTTTTAATACTCTTCCTCAACAACTCACAGGCAGTCTTAATCTTGAGCTGGAGAAATTGGAGCTGATGAGGGCCCTGTTGCAGCCTCTCCCTCCTGAAAATGACAAGGTATCAAGTCCACCTTACACAGGTCCTGCTGACACGTCCTCACCGCAGGGCAATCATGTCCATGAATCTGCCAGTTTTTCAGGGCTGACCAACAGGGAACTCTACCACACAAAAACTCAACTACTTTTCAAAGATAAGGTCACAGGTGACAGTTTGTTTCAGCTGAGGACTATCAGCCTGTCCCTTCTTTTAGTAGTAAATAATGAACATCTGGGTGATGGTTTTTACCCGGTGTTCTAGAAAACCGAGCTCACTTGTGAAAGGAACTGAGGCACAAATGGCTTTCAGAAACTCAACATTTCCAAGATACTGGCTCTAGGACCATCAGTCAGTTTTCTCCAGTCACAGAATCTTAAAGACAGATTGATAGAATGAGTGAGAAACAAACAGGAGGGCAATCCCTAGGGGTCTAGACAAGCATCAAAAAAGGATGAACAAATCCATTGGAGGCAGAATTCCAAGGTCATATAGCTCATTTCATCTGCTGGTTTCCTCCTTTATCCACATGGGCAAGCACCCTGTGACCCTCAGTGACGTGCTAGAGTTGACTCACACTATGGAGACAGCTGTCCACGAGTCCTTCCCATGTCCTCTTGAAATCAGATCACAGTGAGAGTATTCCTACCTTGGATACTGGTAAAGGCTACATACAGATCAGCTCCCCCACACCCAGAACATGAGCCAGTTGTTAAACATTTCCCAGCCCCAGAGTGGGACCATCTAGTCTCGTCTTTGTCTGCACAGGTTTAGTGGCAACTGTCCCTCGAGAAAGCCCCCGGACACACCCTTGGCACTGACCTGGGCTCGGTTGGTATACAGCACTTTCATGTCCTTCAGCTTCGCCAGGCCCTCGCTGTAATGCAGGACGGCTGTTTCATAATCGCCTTCCATGAATGCTTGGTTCCCCTTTTCTCTCAGGGCTATGGAAAAAAGTCACACTCGTGACCTCTCCACACATCGGCAGATTAACACTTTAGTTCCTTGACTTTCCAGTCCTACTCTGGAAGGTCTTAGCTTCCATTAACCCCAAAGGGGCTTGTCACTTGTTCCTCTCTGCACCTATTTCAAGAACAGCTTCTTCAAGTGTTTTTTCTCCAAACCTACCCTCAAGTCTTTTAAGTAGCTTCTCAGAAAAGTTTCTGCATCAAGGCTCAGAACCAGGCCAAGAGACTAAGTCTGCACATTCAATGTCTCATAAAGAGGGTCAACTGATTGATTTTCTGACAAATATGGAATCACTCGGATCTATAGCACACATACCACTGGATGATATACAATAAATGCTGAGTCACCTTCTGTCCTATGCATCTCCCTGCGACATGCACAGCCTCGTTTCTTCCTTTATTTCCCCTCTCCTTTCTCACAGCTTTGCTTCATTTTTCTCTTTTACTTCTTTGTCTATGGCCCAGGCTCACCAGCGGTGCCTCACTCCCATCTCTTAGCACTTTCTAAGCATCATTTAGTGTCATTGAATCTGATCTGCTAAATCCCATCTGTGAGCTTTAGAAAGAGGCTTGGCTAAGGAAGCAGACAGGCCTCTGCCCTCCCCCCTGCCTGTTGCAGCAGGAACAAAGAACAGACCCCCGTTGATTTCCTCCCTGGGTCCCACTGCCTCAGGCCCATCACAGACCCACCAACTGGGAATCCTGAGGTCTTCGTCGCCATACAGGTGCTCGGTGGGCTCTTTCTAGCACAAATCACCCCAGCCCCCAGTCATCCAACAGTAAGGGCTGGCAATTACCATCTGCTAAGACTCTGTTTTCCCTTCTTCTCTTGGCTCGTTCCTTCGCATCCTTCTCCACAGATGCCAAGAAGGCCTCTGACACAGAGTAATTTCAAACATTAAGAAGAAAAATTCAAATACTATAATGAGTTCTTTGCTCAAATTCAGCAGAGTGGCTTTAGAACCACACTCTCACACATACTCACACAGTACACACACACACACACACACACACACACACACGTACACACAACTCGCAGGCAACTGAAATGACATTTTCTTAATTTGACATTAAATGGTAATCTGTGTGATGTATTATTATCCATGATGGCTATGACTGTGCTTCAAATTTGAATTATGTCTTTTAAAAGAGTTTTTCTTTGAAGAGAGACTTTTTTGTTCCATTTAGCATAATGAGCTTCTGAGCTAAGCGACAGAGAAACTATCTGGGACCCTTGAACAGTGGAGAGTAAATTGGATGATTTAGAATAACCGAATTCAGTTTACAAAAGATTGACCAGGGAAAAGCAGAGAAAAATCTCCTAGTGCTGTCACCTCTGACCACTCGTAAAAGGACTGGGTGATCAGTAGGTTTTTGTTCATGGGCTGTTTGTAAGCCCAGAGGCTATAATTTAAGGGCCTGAAAGCCACAATCAATAAAAGCTGATCCTTAAAGAAAGAATAAAAATTGGGGCGACAGACACTGTGCTTACCTGAGTTTATTTCTTCTGCACTCTGCAGGATACAGGTTATCATAAAAATAAAGAAACACATTTCAGAAACCACTCTCTGATTTATATGTATATAAACCCAGAAGGCAAATCAATTACAAATGTGAATCACGTCATTTCCTTTAACTACCAATACCGAAGGGCTGCAAATTCAGAGGGCTTGCTTTAAATCAGGAGATCTGATTATGGGCACGACTGCTATGGGGGTGAGTTTGCAGAAACAAGGCTGTCCCAATCAAGGGACCTCAGCTGTGGCTGTATGAGCTGGAAATATGAGTTAGTAGACTATATTACCTCAACAGCACAGCTTAAATATCACATACAAGCTTAGGGGGTAAAGAGGCCATGTTTTCATTGAAACAGACCCAAAAGGTTGTTTGACGAAGACCCAGGAAGGCCAAGGGGAAAAAAATCAGAGTTTATACTTCCTTGTGGAAAATAAATCTAAGACACAAAAGACTATTTCAGCCTCACCAGATAGCTTGATATTACACTATTGCCTCAGTGCAGGCCTTCTTGCTACATCTGCTTATAGCACTTCTTAACAGAAGAGGAGACCTTCACAGTAGCTTGTGGAGGACTGATCATCGTCTTGTTCAAGGTGGTCCTGCATTCATCGTCCTCTTGATCTTCCTCCATAAGCAGCAGTTTCTTTTCTGTCTTCAGGACAGCTTTCTGCTGCACAACTGGGTCATCAGAATTCATCTCTTGAATTAAATTGGCTGGAGGAGAAATCAGATGTGAATCGATCAAAAAAGGTCTTCAAAAGACTCCACTCACGAGAAAGGATGGTGTTGAAAATTCATGGGGAAGAGCTTAAAGAAAAGAATTTGAGCAATAGAAAGAAAATAGATCAATTAGAGCCAATGTGAAAAAAAATAAGAATAGGATTTGTTTTGCCTAGGAAAAGCTGTATGAGAATCTAACCACAGACTTCAAGAAACAGAGCTTTAAGTGATTGTTCAATTCAACAACAGTTTATGGAGAGCTTATTATGAGTTAGATATTATGCAGAATGCTATCGATAATGATGAATAAAAAGGATCTTTTTTTAAAGAGCTTATGAACTTGTGTGGGAGACAGACAAGTATGTACAGGCAGCTTCAAGATCATAAGACAAGAGTGCTTAACCCTATCCCTACCCACCTAGCTTAGATTCCACGGTCAAACACTTGGCATCCATCCTACCCACAAGCTCAACTCTCTTCCCCCACAGCCCATCAAAGAGACAAAACTCCAGCTCTAGATGGATCCAGTTATTCACTTCTCTCAGCCTTTATTAGGGATGCTAAGTACTGAGGGAGACAGACAGATGCCTGGGGAAGCTGGGCCCAACTCAACTGTACCTTCAGTAATGCCCAGCAACTTTCCTGTCCCAGGCAAGTCATCCTATTGTGTTCCCACTGGCTTTTCAAAGTTCTCTGCAATGGAAACCTGACCATCCCAAACAGACCTTACTTTTCAATTCAGAGAAGAGAGATGCCATTAACTTCCTGCCATCAAAACTACAAAACTGTCTACACATACATCCTTCCATCCTTCCTTTCACAAGGAAAAAGTGTCCTTCCTCCTGCATGAGGTTAATCCCTTATGCTGTGCTCAGGATCCCACCATCCTATTTTGCATAATCCTTGGCTAAAGGAAGGCACATGGGCAATCCAGATTCAAAGGGTCCCCCACATCACCAATTAATTATCCCATTTCGACAATATTTTCAACTTCTTCCATTTGACCAGGTTTTTTCTAAATGTATATACTTTATATCTAATGCCCTGTATTCTCCCCTTTACAACTGAACTTCTTAAAGACATTTTCCTGTTCCAATATCTTGATTTCCCACTGACAATTCAAGGAAATTTGTTCTCGAAAATTTTAGTTGTACAATATTTCAAATATACAAAAAATGACATAAAGAGCATTTTTGTTTCCACATCATCTATAAGTTAATATGTATCATTTCCACAGTATATTTTAATGTTTAGTATTTTTATCAATTAGATTTTGTTGCATTAACATGCCACCTTAAAACTTTTTTAATATTTTATTTTGAAGATGTGGGTTACAATTCAGGATTAGATATACAAGTGGTCATCATACAGGTAAAGTTTGGGCCTCCTTTTGGTCTCTACTTTGCCTGGTTAGAGATCAGATACCCTTATTGATGTTGTATCCCACCACCCCCTCCCCCCGGCAGTATCCTGCTATTGCCAATTCCTTTCTTATAGCAGCATGGTAATTGTTCAGGGTCTGCTTATGAGTGAGAATCTTAAAACTTAGTGACTTAAAACCACCACCATTTATTTAGCTTAGTTTACAATTCTCTGGATCAGCAATATGAGTTAGACTTAGCTGGCCATTCTTCTGGTTTCAGCTGGGCTCACACATAAACGTATCTACGGTCAGCTGTCAGTCATCTCAGTGCTTTGAAAAGTTGACTGGCTGTTGGCTTAGGCAATGGGAGCAACCAGGGAAAATGTGTACCCTCTCCTGGCAGGGGTTCCCAAGAGTGGCAGGAAAGCGAGTCCTAGTTCACACACTATTTTCAGTCTCTGATTGCGCCATGTTTGCAAACATCTCTTTGGCTAAAGGAAGGCACATGGGCAATCCAGATTCAAAGGGTGAAGAAGCAGACTCTATTCTTGCCAGGAAGAAAGGAATTTGTGACCATTTTTGCAATCTACTAGAGTATCTGTGTGTGTATTTAAAATAAATGGTTGTATAAAATATGCTTTCTTTTGCAACCTACTATTTACTCTGAATATGCTTTAGAGCAGGGGACATGTCCAACCTTTTGGCTTCAAGAAAAAAGGCATGGTCTTGGGTCACACCTAAATTATATAATATAGTTAGTGTATATGCATAATACGACTTCTCAAGGTACTCATCAGAAATGCTTATTTTAACATGATGTTAAAAGATTTTGTGGGGCTGCGTTACTAGCTGTTCTGGGCCACCTGTGGCCTGCAGGCTATAGGTTAGATGTGTCTATTTAGAGATTTGTTCTTGACACATCTGGTTCCAGTTGATCCATTTAAATTATTGTACATACCAGAGTTAATCCCCTTTCTCATTGGTGGATAGCCAATTTGTTTTTCATTTTTACTTTTTGCTCTAGTAAATAAATGCTGAATTGAATACCTGTAAGTACACATATCCCTGTGCATGTATGCTGCATCTTCAGGATATGGCTGGGCCAAATTTTACTCCTACAAGGAGAACACAAGAAAGAGTTCCCATTCTTCCACATTCTTGTCAACACTTGCTTTATCAAACTTTTTAATGGCTGCCAATATCATGAGTTGAACTGATATCTCATTAATGTTTTAACCTAAATGTTGCTGAATATGATCGAGATTGAGCATCTTCTTACAGGTTTGCAGACCGTCTGTATTTCTTCTTCTGTGAAGAGCCTGTTCCTATACTTGGACAATTTTCTACTGGGTCATTTGTCTCTTTGTTAATTTACATGATGCGTTCTTTTAAAAAATTCTTCTTCTTAAGAGATAGGATTTTACTATGTTACCCAGGCTGGATTCAAACTTGTGGGCTCAAGCAACTCTCTTGCCTCAGCCTCCCAAGCAGCTAGGACTACAGGAACAAGATACCATACCCAGCTTTTATTCTGGGCTGGTTACACATATTTGAAAACATTTTCTCTTTGCCTGTGATTTGTCTTCCCATCTGCTTTTACGGAAACTTTAGTTTGAGAGTTTTTTGGTTTATTTTCTTTTTTGAGTCAGGATCTCACTCTGTCATCCAGACTGGAGTGCAGTGGCACGATCACAGCTCATTGCAGCCTCAACCTCCTGGGTTCAGGCGATCCTTCCACCTCAGCATCCTGAGTATATGAGACCACAGGTATGCGCCCTCACACCTGGATAATTTTTTGATTGTTTTCAGAGACAAGGTTTCTCTGTGTTGCCTAGACTGGTGCATGAACTCCTGGGTGCAAGCAATCCTCCTGTCTTGGCCTCCCAAAGTGCTGGGATTATAGGCATGAGCCGGTGCACCTGACTTCCTTTTTAATTTTGATGTGTTAAATATAGTGCTCTTCCTTTTATAATACATACCTTTTTTTGTAAAGTTATAAATATATCCTCTTATGATATCTTCTAGAAGTTTTTAATTTTGCTATTCTCATTAAGGTGTTTCATCCACCTGGAGTTGGCTTCTGCCTAGGGCAGTAACAGCATCTGCCGAGGCCCCCTGGCTTCCCCATTGGTGTGTCTTGTCATCCCTCTGATATGTGTGAAACTAGGTCCTTTGTTCCTGTTCACTGGATTGCTCGTCTTCTCCAGCACCAAAACCTCCATGCATTAATGACTCCATCTTCATACTAAGTCTTGACCGTCAGATAGGGGAAAGTTGTCCTGCCTTTTTTTTTTCTCTGCAGAATTATTTTGCTATTCTTGGTCCTTTGTTCTGTATAAACTCTGGAATCAGCTTGTTGAATTCTAGTGCAAACTACTTTGGGGACTTTGGTCTACTCTGTATTGACGGTATAGAATAATTTGAGAATTGACATATTTACCAAATGAATCTTCTCATTAATGATACAATGTTTCCATTTATTTAGCTCTTCCTTTATGTCTTTTTGTGTGTGTGTTGGAGTCTCACTCTGTCACCCAGGCTGGAGTGTAGTAACACATTCACAGCTACCCTAGCGTCAATCTGCCGGGCTCTGGTGATCCTTCCGCCTCAGACTTGCAAGTAGCCGGAACTATAGGCACCACTACCATGCCCGGCTAATTTTTATCTGTTGTAGAGACAAGGTCTTGCCAAGTTGCCCGGGCTGGTCTTGAACCCACAGGCTCAGACAATCCACTTGCCTTGGCCTCCCAAAGTGCTGGGACTACAGGCTGAACCACCGAGTCTGGCCCTTTATGTCTTTTTTTGTTTGTTTGTTTTGAGTTGGAGTCTTACTCTGTCACCCAGACTGCAGTGCAGTAGCATGCTCCCGGCCACCGCAGCCACGCCCTGCTGGGCTCTGGTGATCCTTCCACCTCAGCCTTCCAAGTAGCTAGAACTACAGGTGCGTGCTACTACACCCAGCTAATTTTTCATTTATTGTAGAGACGAAGTCTCACCAAGTTGCCCAGGCTGGTCTCGAACCCACAGGCTCAGACAATCCACTCGCCCTGGCCTCCCTAAGTGCTGGGATTATAGGTTGAACCACTGAGCCTGGCCCTTTATGTCTTTTAATTTAATGTTTTATGAACTAAACTCCATACTTTATTCTAATTTCATGAGCTTCTCCTAATGTCCTTTTTCTGTTCCAGGATCCCATCCAGGGCACCATTTAGTCATGTCTCCTTAGGTCTCTCTGGGTTGTGATAATTTCTTAGACTTCCCTCGTTTTGATGATCTTGACAGTTCTAAGACACACTAAGACAGATCTGGACACACTAAGTTTGAGACATTGAGCAGTACTGTCAGGTATTCTGTAGACTGTCCTTCAATTGGGATTTATCTGGTATTTTTCTCATGGCTAGATGGGGGTTACAGGACTTTGAGAAGACGACCACAGCACATCATCCCAAGGGGACATGGAATCAGCATGATGTTAACCTTGACCATCTGTCTGAGGTGGGGCCAGGCAGCCTTTTCAGCTGTGAAGTTCCTTTCCCACCTCCCCTTCCATTCTGTACTCTTTGGAAGCAAGACACTACTCAATATATCTTTTCCCCATTGGACTGTAGAAAAGATGAAATTCAAAAGGGTAATTCTTTTACTGTATCACCTAGAGCCTAGCAATACTAAACATATAACAAGAGCCCAAGAAATGAATGTACAGAATCTATATACATGTGCCTACAGAGATTTAAATTAATGTAAACAACATTAGTAATTCAGTTCCTCAATCACACAAGCCACATTTCGAGCCTGGGCTGCAGTCATGTCTCACAGAACCTTAACCACTAGACCACAGGGCAGAGTTATAGGCCATGTTTCAAATGTTCAATAACCACGTCTAGTGGCCATTATATATGGACAATGCAGATTACAGAACATTTTCACTGTCACAGAAAGTTCTATTGGATAGTGCTGGTATATGTGATAATTGGATGAACTCTGAGTAGGGATAAAAGTTGGCCAGATAGAAAAAGGTGGAGAGGTGGGGGCATGCGACAGACCACGTGATGAGTATGAAACTCTGGAGTATGCGTGGGCAACTCTCAGCCAGGTGCTGAGGCTCCTTGTGAGGTAGGAAGAGGTGAAGACAAGGCCACGGGAGGATTTATACCCTGATGAGAGCTTGGGATTTATTGTGACTGCAAAAGGAATCCAAGCAGAGAAGTGTCTGGGTCAGATTTGCATTTTAGATACATTACTCTGTGGGAAGCATAAGCCTGGAGACAGGAACAACAATTAGGGGACTGTTGAAATAGTCTGGGTGAGAGGAACCAGAAGGGTTCCAAAGGCAGGGTTGGGGAGGACAGAGCTAGAGGAAGGAGCCACGCTAGATGACTGACTGGATGGAGGGTTATGAGATGGAGGAATCCAGATAACTTGTACATTTCTGGTTGGTGGTAAATTTCAGGATGAAGGGGAAGGTAGAAGAAGCAGGTTTTATTTGGTAGGAAGAGGGAAGAGAGGAAAAGAATGATGACTCGATTTTGGACACACTGAGTTTGAGGCATTTGTGGAATACAGTGGGTATGACAGTTGGCCACAGAGGCTGAGGCTCAGAAAGAAGACTGGGTGTCAGTTTAGATGTGGGGTTCAGGAACAAACAGATAGCAGGTAAAACCATGTGCTTAGATAGCCCGAAGAGAAAGTGAGCAGCGGTCCAAGGCCAGAACTCCAAGAACAACATTCAGAGGTAAGCAGGGGAGAGGCCCGTGAGGAACACAAAGTATGCATTATGAATGCATCATTTCTGAAGCTACCCACACTACTTTTAAAACCATTTTATTCTTTAGACCTACACAATCTACTAGAAGCAGTAATTTCAACATATTTATATTTGCAACATAGGTTTGTTTGCTTGTTGGTTGGTTTGTTTCTCTACTCAAACATGCTTCCTGAAGTTTGAACAGGGACTGACAGGTTTGGAATTTCCTGGATGTTATCTGTAGGATCAGAGTACATGTCATTTGAGATCTCACCTGTCTGAGCTGGGGAAGGGATCTTCTCCCCTAGAGGAAGAGAGAGAAGGGACTGACAATCATAAGCTATCCATATGATTTGATGGGTCCTCAGGGAAAGCCATTTGATTTTGCCTCTGCAGCTCAAAAGCAGAAATGGCTCTACCCTAAAACTGATCAATGGGGCTCTTGGGTGGCTTCCTTGAAGGGAACAGCTAGTTTCATTGTCAACGGGGAATATCAGCTCCTTCTGGCCTGATTTTACTTAGAAGGGGACAAAATATGGAGGAGAGCTGTCAGCCTGAATTCCAATCAGAACGTTAACAATTTCTCTGATACCAATTAACAGCCAGAAAATACTGCCCCTGAGCTATAACTTGCTTCTCAGTATCCTTTCTGTTTAATTTCAATTACTTTTTTTTCCCTTAAGAGTCATAAACCTGTCAGGCATCCCAGGAACTTAGGGTAATTATTTCTCTTTAGCCACTCCGCCTCTCTAAAAGCAGAATTTAATTTATGATTTACTGGTACTTACTGATTTCATCCACATTTTTAAGAAATTTCTGCAAATCTTTCTCTTGATTGTCAGCCATTGTGGATCAGAATCCCTGAGGGAGGTAGCATAAATGATGAAGTTAATAATAATAAAACACTAAACAGAACTGTCAGGCTTATTAGCCTTCAGAACTAAGAGTCAAGTGACTATTTTAAAGACAGATTTGTGTTTATAAATGTCATGAATAACAGCAGGGTGATCCATTTCACTCCAACTGCTGTTTAAGACCAACGGACACTCATTTGTGTGTGTGTGTGGCGATGCTTCCAGAAAGCGGCCAGCCCTCCCTCCCCTGGGAAAAAGCTCTGCAAATAGTTTATCCAAAGCCAACATCAACCCCTGTGATTTAGGGGCCTGGCACGAAGGAGACTGGGAGAGAGCAGCTGACAGGTCGCCAGGGACAGAAGAACATGATGACACCTGACTTTGATCATCACAGGCTGGTCGGTCCTGAAGCTCAGACGTGGCAGCTTGTGACAAGTGACAAGAGGCACTTGTGACAAGCACTTGTGACAAGTGACAAGAGGCAATTTGCATCTAGAGGTTCACACTTTAAAGTAGAAGCCTCTGGCTTGCTTCTGAAGAGTGAAGAGAAGCTACACATTGGCTGAAGGGATTGGAACGTGATGTTTCCGTGCACCAGCACCTCTCTCTTCTCCTCTCCGGGTACTTAGGACTTACCAACTCCACAGTTGTTTCTTAGTGAAAAGACAGCATGGTTTACCCAAAGGTACCCAGAGGTTTATCGATAGACCATAACCATCATCCAGAAGCTTATTACCCAGAGATTCTTGGTCAGTAAACCCAGGATGGTGCCCAGGAATGAACACTTTAAACACTCTGCGATTCTGATTTATAGCTAGGTTTAGTAGTTGTGTAGTAGTGCCACACACGGATAACTGGGAATTCGAAACCCACCACGAACAAGCTGTGCGTTATTTAATCTCTGAGTCTCAGTGTCCTTAGTCTCCACTAGTTACAAGCTGTGCGACCCTGGCTCAAGTTACAACCTCGCTGAGCCTCAGAGTCCTCACTCACACGATGGAAACGGCACCACGAGGGACCCTCCTGGCGATGGCACTCAGCGAGTGGTCGGGGTGAAGCACCTTTTCCCATAAGCAGAGGGTGGGCTTAACTGAAAGGCCGCAGGGGCTCTTTCCAGGCCCGACGTTTTCAAATCCCACCGCACGGAGGCCCAGCGAAGTGAACGAACTCGCCCGACGGTAGGAGGGCCAGAAGGCAGCTCAGCATCTCCATGACAGGCGCCAAGCCCTCTGTCCCCAGGGTGCCTGGCCAGTGCCACCCACGACAAGACGAGTGGGACCGGGCAAGGTGACAAAAACGTGCGGCGCTCGCACTTTCACTCCGCAGGGCCCATGGCCGCGGGGACCTGCCCCGAGCCCCGGGCCCTGCAGACCCCAGACCCGCGCGCGGCCCGCCCGACGGGGAGGGGCGGGGCGCCCGCACCGTTGCCTGGCAACCGCTCCCCGGCGTCCTCGGCCCCTGCT